CCGAGCTGAGCACGGTGTGCAGGTGAGCGCAGGCCCTCTCACCTGGGCGGGGGCCGCGGCTCAGACTCAGGTGCGGGCCGCACTTTCCCACGGCTCGCCGCGCCGGAGAAGTCCTTGGATCGAACACACAATTCCCGCGAGTTAAGGGGGCCAGACAGCTGCATAAGAGACTGATTTTTCCATTCGCGAATTTCTAAGATGCTTGTTAATAAAGGAAAGCAGCAGGGTAACAGCGGCGAGAATCTGCCCTTGACAGGAGCTTTGCTAATGGAGAACCTGAGCAATGACGAAGCTGCAGGGCATTTAATCCCAGAAGCATTAAAATCTTGATTCACTGTGGTCTCTTTAGGGGCCCTCTGAGTATGCTATTACTGAAATTCCTCCAAAAATGTCCCATTTGGGATGAAAGCATAAAAATAACTTCGATCTTTCACCGTGTAACTGCACTAGCCGCTTTCAATTGGCCATAAAAATTATCGGTACAGAATCATTGCCTTGCATTTTGGCGTTCTCTAAGCCGCCTGCTGGGTTTTGTCTGACCTCTTAGTGACTCAGTGTTGTGTTTCGTGGCTCTGTGCACAAGACGTGTGGCTGACCTTAAAATACTGTTTTCCCTCTTTCTGTTTTAGCCTGGATAAACTGAAGTGCCTTGAGGAGGGTGAAGATCTTGAAGTCATTCCAGAGGATACTGATCTAGTGACTTTGAGGTATGGGTGACTTTGCTTTGGTCATAATGTTATTTATTTTTGTTGTTGTTTGGGGACAGGGTCTCACGATGCAGTTCAGGCTGGCCTTGAACTCACTACAGCCCGCCCAGGCTGACCTCCAACTTGTAGTGATCCTCTTGCCTTAGCCTCCCTGGGATTACAGGCCTGCACCATGAAGCCCTGCTAGTTGTATGTTACTTATTTAATAAATTTAATTTTTGGTGCTGGGATCGAAACCAGGGCCTTGTATACGCTAAGTACCGCACCACCACTGAGCTACACTGCCAGCCCCTGTGATATTTGTTTAAACTTGCTTTTGAACATTATAGTTTGAAAAGTTGAAAGTACAGTAGTATCCATATGCCCACCCCTTAACTTTAATGATTGTTAATATTTGGCCTTATTTGCATTACCTGGATGAGTATTAGAGGCAGCTAGATCTTTTTTCTTGCTATATTATTCAATAAATTGTAAACATTATAATAATTTACTCCTAAGAACTCCCACATATAGTTCCTAAGAGTACTTTTTTGCATAAGAATGGTATTATTATTATTTTTTTAAGAATGGTATTATTAAACATAAGAAAATTAAATATTTTCAACCTCTGGTATCCAGTCCATATTCAAATTTGTGCTTGCATTTTTGGGGGGAGGGGTTACTAAGGATTGAATCCAAGGTCTTTGTATAAACTACATTTCTAGCCCTTTTGGTTTATTTTGAGACAGGATCTTGCTAAGTCACTAAATTGTCCAGGCTGGACTTGAACTTGCAATCCTCCCTCTCAGTCTCCCACAGTACTGGTATTATAGGCCTGTGTCACCATACCTGGCTTGTATTTACTTTGGAATATTTACAAAAGTAGTTAATCTTCTTAGATTTGGGGTGCAAGCTGAACATTCTGATGGTGTTTCTTTTTCTGTGAGAAAGGACCAGTTGCTTTTGTTCCTGTTTTTTTGTTGTTGTTCCTGTTTTTCAATTTTTAATCATTGACAGTTCTATACTTCTGTACAATAATATAAAAGTGAATTACTAGAAAAAGTGGAATTTTAAAAAGTATAAGTCCACAATCCCTGGTACAAAAAAAAAAAAAATGTATAAGTCCATGTATTTTATTGTTATGAAATTCAGCAGGCATATTGTCAATTTACAAAGTTTCCAGATGCTTTAATTTTCTGTGCAAATTGGATAACAAATAGCTCACAGATTGATACTAGTCTGCCAACCATAATTTAAGAAGGGTTGCTATATGATAACATTATAGAGAAATTATAATAATGAAATGGATAACTTCCAGTTTACAGTCTACTGATTTTATACCATCTCGGCTGTGTTGTGTCATCCTTGAGCCTGTCCTTTCTGCTGTCCCCTTCAAATATTCAGGCAGTCATCTCCATGTGACCTTGGTTTTCTTTTGTACTGAATTTGTTCCTGATTTCCACTGTAAACATTAACATTAGCAACACCTAGAGTGCTATGAAAAGCTCCTGTCTTTCTAAGCCCAATCTTCCCCTTCTAATTTATATGTAAGACAGTCACCACAGTATATTTTGTTTAGAAATTGCCACTGACTCTACATCTCCTATTTGGAAAAATTTCAAACTTTTTAGGGAGGTTTTTGAAGCCTCCCACATATATCTCAAGTATGCTTTTCCAGATTTACTTTCAACCATTTCTCTTCAAAGTGTCTCAGGATGTGCATGCACTCTCTACCATCTGAAACCTTAAGATTGCTTTCCAGATTACCTTAGGTAAAAGGCTCATTGATATTGCCTTCACCTCTGACATGTCTAAAGTCTTGGTAGGCTCACTGAAAGTCCATACTCCTTGCTCTTAAGCCCACTGTACTGCCTTGCCTCAGTTGGTGCCTTCCCACCTGTACCAGGAATTGAACACAGGACCTTGCATTTGCCAGTCAGATGGGGTGCCACTGAGCTACATCCCCAGACTGTCAATTGGTGCTTTGTAACTGTTGTTGACTAGTTAGATTTGCTTAAGATGTAAATCTGATTTTGTTACTTTCTTGCTTAAAATCTTGTAATATCTCTTAGGCTTAAGTCCTGAGTCCTTATATGTCTCACAAAGGCCTCTGTGGATGGATTTTGTTAATCATTTTAGCTTTGTCTCTGAAATGGTCCAGCCATACCGCACTTTGTTTCAGTTTGTGGAATGTGTTTTCTCACTCCAGTTTGTCTGGGATACTCTTATTCTCCTGCCTTCCTGCTTTCCTATCCTTCACGTCTTAGCTAAAGGACGAAGGATTCTACTTAGGTTCCTTCTACGTTCATGGAGCAACCCCATGCTTCTCTGTTGAAATACTTATCACATTTATAATATACTTTAAAGATTTTATATCTTCTTAGCTGTGCTTGAAAGTTCTATAGCTGGGCATGGTAGCTCACAATGTAATCTTAGTACATGGGATGTGGAGGGTAGAGGATCAGGAATTTGAGGACGGTATGGACCACACATTGAGACTATCTAAACAACAGCAAGAAGTGGGGATAGGGATGTAGCTCAGTGGTAGAGCCCATTCTTAACCTGCTCAGTTCCCTGGGTTCAGTCTCCAGCACTAAGAAAAATGTTCCATAAGCTGTATCTGTTACAGTTAACTGGTAACTAGAATTGTGGCACGTAATAGGGAGCCAATAGTTTGTAGAATGAGTGGAATACGTGAACCTTTTCTAAGACTTAAGAAACTGGTTTTTAGAGAGAGACTGACGAAAAGGCTGATGATAAAGGAAGTTTTTTTTAAAACTATAGTTAACATATTAATTGACTTAGAAGAGTTTTATTAATTAGCAACATAAGACTACTTAATACATTCTTCCTCCTGACTGCTTTCTACTCTTTGGTTAGTCAAATCTCTTTGGTTGTCTTCTTATCTTTCCAAATTTAGGATATGTGGACCAAATTTGATGTATATTTTCCAATGTAAAACAAGTCACTGATGTATTCCTCAACTGGTATTATTTTGAAGTACTGTGAAGCAATTAGATTTAAAATGTGATTCAATATTAATAATTCTGTGAAACATTAGACTTGTGGCAAAAGCCTACCTTTATATCTCCATGCTTTTTCTTTCTCTGCCTCTGTCTGAAGGAGCTACTTAACTCATGCATGGAAGGGAAAAGAAAGGTAGTTGTTGGGTGCTAATTCTTCGATGCATGCCACTCTCCTTACTTCATGGCAAATTAGGTAACCGATTATGCACTTTTGAAGTTTTTTGATCCTGGGAATCATAGTAAATTGTTAACTACTGTACATGTAACTAAAACCTTATACCTGTTTTCCAAAAGCTTTAGCTCCCTTTTAATCCACAGCAATTTTAATTAGATTATTTTGCTCATTCTACTCATTTCTGTAGCCAAGTAAAAGAGAACTACAAAATTAGAGGGTTCACAACTCTTATGATCAAAATTCCACCATTTTTTAAAAAAACTATACTCCACAGTGTTTCTGGACTTTGCTAGAATGACAGAGTACCATAAGTTGACAGTCTTGTAACTTACTACCACCACATCCAAGTATCATGAAAATAAGTGAAAATAAAATCAAAGGAGAAATGATTGCAGAAAACTAGGAAGCATCTGTTTATACAGGTCAGCTTGAAAGACATTTCCCTAGCCCCAGAAAATAACCAGGAAACAGAAGAAAATTATGTTTATACTCCAGACAGAATTGACTATAGGCAAACAAACATTTGAGGGTATAAAAACACCTTGAATTAGAAATTTTTAAAACAAAGTGGAAACAACGAGTAAAAGGAGAAATGAAAATAAAATAGATGAAATGCAGGAAGAAATTATGAAAAGACAGTTCTATGTGAATAAATTATAAGAGATTCAAATGGAAATTTAATAGGCAATGAAAGAAGGCATGAAGACAACTGAAAGAATTGAAAGTGACATAAAAAAGTAAAATGAGAGAAATGAATGGAAAACAAGTTTTTAAAATACAGTCAAAAGCTTCCAAAGCTAGTTGTTGTGGTGCAGGCCTGTAATTCCAGCATTTGTGAAGCTGAGGCAAGAGGATCTCCACAAGTTCTAGATCAGCTTGAACAGCATAGGGAGACCCTGTCCAAAAAAGAAATTTTTTTTTTCTAGAAGTAGAGAAAACTAAATCTAAAACTTGAAAGGCTCCCTGTATATCTGCAAAAATAAACAGACTTTTCTGCTGTGAGATCTGGCTTAATGAAGCTGTCTTATTTCAGAAATCAAGGTAAAGTCATCAAGGCTTCCAGGCAGAAAGAGTAGATGACCTAAAGGAAAATTTACATAAAGTACTGTTGCAAAGCTGACATACAAAGCAGAGCTACAATGTAGCATCATCTTTTAGAAAGCTCAGTGAAAGTGTGAACCAGGATTTTATGTCCAGTTGACATATCCTTCAAGAATCAAAGCTATAGGAAAAGAACAACTTTAAACATGCAGAACTTTCAGAATATTTCCTGCACCTGCCACCGTTTTCTGAGGGACTACTAGAGGGTGAATTTCCTTTAACCAGTTGATGGCTGGGAAATTTTCAGCAAACCATTTAAGGTGCAAAGGTTGTATATTATTACAAAGTATAATATTACAGCTAAAAAGATGGGAGGATAGTTTGTAGGCAGAGGGAGGGTTTTTAATAATACTGAGAAGAACCCTGGCAAACTAGATAGTAAAACGTAAAATAAGAGGCTGGCGATTTAGCTCAGTGGCACCACACCTGCCTGGCAAGCACAAGGTCCTGAGTTTGAGCCCTGGTACCAACAACAAAAAAAATAAGAAAGTGGCTTTTGGGCATAGTGGCTTATGCCTGGAATCTCAGCACTCTGGGAGGCTGAGGCAGGAGATTTACAAGTTCAAGCCTAGCGTGGGCAATTTAGCATCTTAGTATGACCTTGTCTCAAAATAATTTTAAAAATCTAAACATTTTTGGGAATGTAGCTCAGTGTGAAGGCCTTGGATTCAATCCCCAGTACCACAAAAAACAAAGGGTACGTAGGACATTAAAAAACAATGACAACAAAGAACCAGAACAAAAAGAATAACCAATCCTCCCAACTAATCTTCCCTTCCAAGTTTTTTTTTGAGCCGAAAAGGCTGTGGGAAACAGGTGCTTTCAAAGATCACTAATGAGACTGTAAGTGCTGTTCCCGGAGAAGTTTGGTAATAGGTAACACCAAGCTGCATATGCAATTACCTTTTCACTCTGCACTCCCACTGGTAGCAGTATGTGTTTCAGCGGTAAGAAAAGATATATATGTAAGACGTCATTCCTTGCAGTTTTGTTTGCGTCTGGAAACCATTTGAAAATTCACATGCATAGAAGAGTGGTGAATGTACTGGGAAATCCTCACAGTAGAATATCCTGTAGCTATAACAAAGTACGAGGAAAGGTGAACACAGAGGGTGACTTCCCTGACATAGTAAAGCAAGAAAGTCCCAGGGCACATGCTAGCTTTCATGTGAAAAAGAAGTTAGGTTAGCTATAACTCATTTACTTCCATCTGCAGACTTGCCATTTTGTAAACATGGACCTTGACCTTAGATATTTTTCCTTCGCCGGCTGGTACACTGTGAAGCTGTGCCAGTGACGGTTGGTGGAGAGGCCTCGCGGCCCGTGGCGGAGGTTGTGCTTCCGGGTCTGACATGCTGGCTCGGCAGAATGAGTGCATCCAGCTGCTTTCCCCACCACCCACCCTCTGAACAGCTTTCCCGGGCACCCTTGTGGGTGGATTGAAGCGTAGGCCTGGGCACAGAATGGATAGACTTCCTTGAGCATTCTCAGCCCTAGGGATAGGATGTACTTTAGCATGTGTCGTATCTGTTTTATCCCTGAGCTAGATCTCCAGCCACTGTTTTTGTTTGTTCGTTTAAGGCAGGTCTCACTCTTTAGTTCAGACTGGCCTTGAAATCACCACTAAAGCCCAGGCTGACCTTGAACTTGTGGCAGTCCTTCCTCAGCCTCCCCAGTGTGGGGAATAGTGGCGTGTGTCAGCCCTCATCTATCTGTGTACCTACCTATATAATTTTAATTAGGGTTTTCTAATTTTCCTAGGTGGGCTTGAACTTTTCATCTTGCCACAGCCTTCCAGAGTGCCGGGATTACAGCTGTGTGCCATTGTGCCCAGCTTCTTTTTACTTCTTTGCTAGTCCTTATTACTCTAGTCCTCTGTTAAAAAGAGTAACACTTTACATCAAGGTTTCTCTTTTTCAGTTACCATTCTGTGTTTTCCTCCTCATTGAACTCGGGTTGGTAACAGAAGGGGGTAAGCTACACAGATACCTGTATTATTTGAACAAAAGAAGTGAAGGATAAAGCAGAACTATAGTGATTGGTTGATTGCAGGGTGTGAATGGGAATGGGTAGGAAGAAGGGAGGGAACTGGAACAGGTTGGTAGGGATGAAGAGCGAGATGCTTCAGACTCTTTAGAACCAGAGTAATGTTGGGCACATCTTCCTCATTCCCTAATACGAATCAGACAAAACCAACCAGTATGTGTGTAGGGGAACTAAAAATGCCATACAAAAACTAGTGAGTGGGGATGTAACTCAGAAGAGAGTGTGTGCCTGGCATGCTGAGGCCCTGGATTTGATCCCCGGCACAGGGACTGGCAGCTACCTCAGCAGTGGTCATGGTGGGGACTAACAGATGAATAACAGTACTCTGAAGAGGATGGAGAGAGGAGCTAACTGAGGGCTATCGAAGCGTGTTTTGGTAATGATGTTGTAAGGCTGAAGACTAAAAGAATTTTTCATAAGTTAGCATTCCTTGCAGAAGCAGAGGTTAGCAGTTGTGCAACAGCTTTTAGGTATTTTCTAGAATTGAACAATTTAAAGTTGCCAGTCGTATGAGAGGTGGGTTTCTCATTTGAGGAAAAAGAAGTTATAAACAAGGGAAAGGTTAAAGGCTTCAGTTGAATCCTGTGGTTTTAGTTTGAAATGAGAAGTATCAGTATAAACTCATTTTAAATATATAACAAAAATACAGATATTTGCACATACATGGGCTAGCATCAATATGTATATTTCCTGCCTTTCTTGGCTTAGAGGTGTAGAAGCAGTGACCACAATAATGAGAACACCTAGCACCCAGATACTGCTCTCTAAACACCTCTCTCCAGTAAAGGAACTAGATGACTCCAAGTTCAAAACAGGAAAAATGGAGGATGAACCTTGGACATTTTGTGGTTCCAAAAGTAAGAAAATGCTCAGAAGAAAAGATGAGGCCCTACTGAATGAACAGAATTCAACCCGAAAGAGCTCCCTGTGACCAAAGCTGGAACAATTTGAGCAACAAAATCATGATGGTTTTATTTATTTTTTGTTTGTTTTTGCGACAGGGTCTCACTATGTAGTTGAGACTGACCTGGAACTCAATATGTAGCCCAGGCTGGTTTTGAACTCACAGCGATCCTCCTGCCTCAGCCTCCCGAGTGTTGGGATTACAGGCGTGCGCCACCACCCCTGGCTTAATCATGTTGGTTTTAGATTTTATTTAACTCATAGAGTAAAGTACGTATACTTTACTAATATAAATGATAAAATAAGTGGGTAGAGACAGTCTTTTCTCATAATAGAATTCCAGTGAATAAATGGAGGAGGAAGGAGATAGAGAATCACCATTAGGCATATACCACAGTAATGTTGAAGACACAATTCTGGGGTGAAAAGTTTGAGGAGAAATAAGACTTTCTTTGTCTCAGTGTTATCTCCCCTAAAGTACTTTTCACATTTAGATAGAAAAACATTTTTTTTAGTGGAAGAACCTGGTAGACAGGAACTTAACTGAGGTAACATAATAACATTCATGAACCTCTCAGAATGCTGTAATGAGAAGGAAACTGTTCTTGTGGTATTCTTGCTAAAAATGCCAAGTTTACTCCAGTCATGAAGAAACCAGAATGAAACCCAAATTAGAAATTCTACAAACTGATGAAAGCTTTTTAAGAACTTGAAAGACAGAGAGCCTGAGGAACTGTGACAGACTGTAGAGTATAAAGGAAAAATAAGCTCGAGATTTTAAAAAGGCATTAAATTTTAAAATTGTGTAAAATCGTATTCATGTTAATTTCCTGTTAATCTGTTTTCTTACATGACGTTAATTTAAGGAAAATTGGTTAATAGATTATATAATATATATATATGTATATCTTTGTATTAGTTTTGTGACTTTAATTCTAAAATTGGTCTGAAATTAAAAGTTAAATATAAAAGATATTAAATATTTGAAGCCCCAGGAAATAATGTAGACCTTTGATTATTCATGTATCTTCAACAGGGCTAGAAAAAGGTTCTTGGAACATCGAGAAGAAACCATAACAATAGATCGTGCCTGCAGACAAGAAACATTTGCTTATGAGATGGTAAGTTTTCATGTCTCACCCGTTTCCCATGAAGCAGTAAACTGTTACTGGCTGAGTGTTAGTGACACTTGTGTGATAGCTTTATATTAGATGTGCTTAGTTGAAAAGAGAAACACTACTGAGACTGGGAACTGGTTAGAGAAAAGGACCCACAGAACTCAAGGCACCATGTATTTGACTATCTCTGCTCCAGTTTTGGTTTTACTTTGGTCTTACCCTCTCAGTATTAGGCTGTATTTATGCTTTCTGGCCACCCTGTTCCTGCTCTCTTTGTTCTGCTCTTGATTGTATTTTAACTCCGTGTGCGTGTGTGTGCGCGTGCCACTGAGCTACACCAGCGGAGGGCCCCCCTCCATTTTGAGATAGGGTCTTGCTCACTTGCCCATTCTTGCCTTGAACTTGGGATTCTCCTACCTCTGCCCTCTGAAGGATCTGGGTTCACGTAGATACATCACTGTACTCACCATTTAGCCACATTCTTAATTCTAATTTGTCATCTCTTATGTAAAGCCCTAAGAGAATTTAATACGAATACTGAGTCATTAGGAGATCCTAGGCATCATGGAGTCATTGTACCATGTGTCAAACTCTGTGGTGAGCACTTGATAATGATTATCTCACCCTCCCATTTATTTTTTTTTTTGTGGTTAAATTTACACAAAATAAAATTATATTAACCATTTTAAGTGTTTAGTTAAGTACCTTCACAACAACATCACCACAATTGCCAGATTTTTTCTTCATCTCAAGGTAACTCTAATTCCCATGGCCTCTGGTGATCTCTATTCTGCTTTCTGTTTCTATGAATTTGCCTATACTTTTTTTATTAGTACATGTTTGTAATACATAATGGTTACAGTGATTATCAGGAGCTGGCACATGTACACAACACATCTTAGTTTTTTAATGTCTCCTTTACCTCTCCTACGCCCATCTCTTGGTTCCCTTCTCATTTGCAAAAAACCTACTATTTCCTATTTGTCTTTTATTTTGCTCTTTATTTATACTTTGGGTCTCTCATATAAGAGAAACTATGCTGTATTTATTATCTCACTTAGCATTATAATCTCAAGGTGCATCTTTTTTTTTTTGGTACCGGGGATTGAACTTGGGTTCTTGTGCTTGCAAGGCAGGCGGCGGAACCACTGAGCTAAATCCCTGGCCCAGAGCATCTATTTTCTACAGATGACTCACATTTATCTTTTATAGCAGAGTGGTATTCCTTTGTGTATAAATACCACATTTTATTCATCCTTTCATCTGTTGATGTCATGTAAGCCACTTCCAAGATTTAACTATTATGAGTTGTGCTGCTATAAGTACAGGTTTGCATGTATCTTTGTAATATGATATTTTTAACTCTTTTGGGAAGATACTTAGAAGGGGACTAGATGGATCAAATGGAATTTCTAGTTTTTTTTTTTAAAGAATATCTGTATTAATTTCTGCAATGATTGTACTAGTTTATTTTTTTTCACCAACAATATAGAGGGGTTCCTTTTTCCCTTGCCATCTGACCAGCATTTATTATTAGATTTCTTTGTGATGCCTATCCTTTCTGGAATAAGATGAAATCTCAGTGTTGTTTTAATTTGTGTATCTCTAATGGCCAAAGAGGTTGAATATTTTTTTCGTGAATTTATTAGCCATTTTTACTTCTAAGAAGTGTCAGTTCATTTCAGTTGCCCATTTTTTAATTGGGTCTTTTATTTTGGGGGGTTGTATTTTGGGGCGGTTGTATTTTTTGAGTTCTTCATATATTTTAGATTATTAGTCCTCTGTGAAGCATAGCTGGCAAATATTTTTTCCCATTCTATAGATTGTCTCTTCACTCTGTTGATTGTTTTCTTTGCTGGGCAGTAGCTGTTTAATTTGATATAGTCCCATTTGTTGATTTTCCATGTTATTTCTTGTGTAGTTGAGATTCTGTTCAGAAAGTCCTTGCCTATGGCTGTGTCACATCAAGAGTTTTACCTATTTTCTGATCCAGCACATTAACTGTTTCTCTTTTACTATTTAGATCTCTGATGTATTTTGATTTTGTTTTAGTATGTGCTGAGAGATACCGATCTAGATTTCATTGTCTGTATGTAGATAGCCAGTTTTCCCAGCACCGTTGTTAATGTCAGTAGTCTCTCTTTCCTCCAGCATGTTTTCTATTTCTTTGACAAAGATCAGGTGGCTTGAATGCACCTGGGGTTGTTTCTGCATGCTGTCTTTCGGTCCATTGATCTGTATGGATGTTTTTGTGTCATTACTGTACTGCTTTGATTACTGTAGCTTTGTGATATAACTTGAAATCCAGGATTCTGATGCCTCCTGCTTTGCTCTTATTGCCCAGGATTGCTTTTGCTGTTCTGAGTCTCTTTTGGTGCCATATAAATTTTAATTATTTTCTTTAGTTCTGTAAAAAATGTTGTTGGATTTTGATTGGGATTGCATTCAATTGATAATATCAGTTTTGGAAGTATAGCTATTTTGACAGTATTGGTTTTATCTACCCAGGAACAGGGGATATCATTCCAATTTCTGATGTCCTCTTTGATTTTCTTTTTCAGAATACTATAGTTTTTGTTTTTTTTTGTTTTGTTTTTTCAGACAGGGTCTCACTATGTAGTTGAGACTGATCTGGAACTCACTATGTAGCCCAGGCTGTTCTTGAATTCACAGCGATCCTCCTGCCTCAGCCTGCCAGTGTGCTGGGATTACAGTTACAGGAGTTAGCCACTGCGCCTGGCATCAGAATACTATAGTTTTTGTATGCAGGTCTTTGACTTGTTTTGTTAGGTTAATTCCTAAATGTTTAATTTTTCTTAATGATATTGTGAATGATACTGTTTTTCTAATTCCTTTCTCTGGTGGATTCATTGTTGGTGTTCAAGAACACTATTGATATCTGTGTGTTGATTTTGTATCCTGCTACCTTCCTGAATTTGTTTATTAATTCTAGGCCTCTTTCAGTGGAATATTTTGGTCTTTTATGTAAAGGATCATGTTGTCTGCAAAGAAGGACTTCTTCCTTTCCTTAATATCTCCCATTTATTTCTTTCTCTTGCCTGATTGCTGTGGCTACAATTTCAAATAGTCTCTTGGACAGTAGTGAAAGTGGATATCTTTGTCTTGTTCCTCATTTTAGAGGAAAAGCTTTCAGTTTTTCCCCATTTCATAGACTGTTGGCGATAAGTTTGTCATAAATTGCTTCTATCAGATCGAGATAAAATCCTTCTGTACTTGTTTTCTTTAGAGTTTAGAGTTTAATCATGAATGGATGTTGGATTGTGTCAAAGGCTTTTTTTTTTTTGCTTCTAATCAGATGATTATGTGATTTTTGTCCTTGCTTGGTTTATGTCTTGTATTACATTTATTGATTTACATATACTGAACCATCCTTGTATGCCTGGGACGTAGCCTACTTGATGATGATGTATGATCTTTTTGATGATGTGTTACATTCTCTTTGCCAGCATCTTATTGAGGATCTTTGCATCTGTGTTTATATAAAAGATTAACCTGTAGTTTTCTTTTTTAGTTGAGTCTTGTTTGGTTTTGGAATCAAGGTAATGCTAGCTTCCAGGAATTAGTATGGCAGTACTTACTTCCTTTCAGTTTCATTATAGAGTTTGAGGAGTGCTATATGGGCATTAGATTTTCCCTGAAGTTCTTGTTCCATTTTGTGGTGAATCTTTTGGTCATGTGCTTTTCATAGTTGCTAGTTTCTTTTTTACTGCCTGTGATTGGATTATTCAACGTTATTCTGTATTCTTGATTCAGTTTTGGTAATTCATATGTATCTAGCAATCAATTCATTTCTTCTGGATTTCGGCAGTGTCTTGTGATTTTACCTTTTTCATTTCTAATTGCATGGACTTGGGTCTTTACTTTTTTGTAAGATTAACTAAGGATTTGTCTATTTTGTTAATTCTTTCAAAAAACCAGATCTTCAATTCATTGATTCTTGGTCTTTTTTTTTTTAAGTCTCAATTTCATTAATTTTTGATGTGATCTTTGTAATTTCTTTTCTTGTACTAGTTTTGGATTTGGATTGTTCTTGTTTTTCTAGAACTTTGAAGTGCATCATGAGGTTATTTATTTGGACTCGCTCTGTTTTTCTGATGTGGGCATCCATAGCTAGCAATTTCCCTCTTAGGATTACTTTTATTGTTTCCCATAGTTTCTAGTATGTTTTTCTGGGATTACCTTTTTTTTTTTGGTACCAGGGATCTAACTCAGGACCTTGCATTTGCAAGGCAGATGCGGTGCCACTGAGCTAAATCCCCAGCTCCTGGTATTACCATATGATTCTAGGAACTGTCCAATTTCTTTTTTGATTTCCGTTGTAATTCACTGGTTATTTAGTAGTGTTACTATTTAATCTCCATGTGTTTGCATACGTTCTGAGATTTCATTTGCTGTTTATTTCTAGTTTCATTGCAGTGTGATCTGATCATATACCCATGGAAAAATTTCATTTCTCTCATGTTTCCTTAAGCATGATTTATGGATAAATATGTGGTCTGTTTTGGAGAAAGTTTTATGTGCTGCTGAGAAGAATATGTATTCTGTTTTGGGGTTGAACACTATAAGTATAAATTCCATTTGTTAAAAGATGTTCAATTCTGATATTTTGTAGTTGATTTTTTTGGGGGGTCTAGTTGATCTGCCTGTGTGAGAGTGGGGTAGTGAGGTCCCTATGTAATTCTGTTGATGTTTATATGATCTTTTATGTCCAGTAGTGTTTGTTTTATGAAGTTTGGTATAGTGGTGTTCACTGCATATGCATTTATAATCCTTATCTCGTCTTTTTGAATTTGTTCCCTTTACTAATATGTGGTGACCTTCTTTGCTTGCTCTGATCAGTTTTGAAAGTTTGCTTTGTCTGAAAATGAGATAGCTACTCCTGCTTATTTTCAGGCTCCCATTGTCATGGATTCTGTTTTCCATCCTTTAATTTCTAGCCTTTTGGATTAAAATATGTTAGTTATATACAGTATACTTAGGGTTTTATTTTTTATCTGGTCTGCTGATCTGTGCCTTTTGTTTTTTGGTAGTGGGGATCAAACTCAGGCGTCGGAACCACAGAACTCAATCCCCAGCCCAATCCAGTCTGTGCCGTTTGACTGGAGAGTTGAGAGTATTTGCGTTGAGAATTATCGCTGAGGTATTCAGTTGAGGCACTAATGCATTCCCACCATCACTCTCCCCTCACCCTTCTGTTCAACTGCTCACCCTGCCTGGTGTATTCCTTCCTTTAGACTTCTTGGCGTTGTTGACTTCATTGTCTCTTTAGGAAATCCTCGAGAAGTTTTTGGAGGGCTGATTTGATAGTCATGCATTTCTTAAGGTGCTTTTCATCATAGCACTAATTGCTGCATCAAGTTTGAAAGGTAATTTACTGATCTGGATAGGAAGTTGTTTTCTTTAAAGCTTGAAACATTTCCGATCGCCTGCCCCTGCAGGTGAGGTTTGAGATATTACAGCAGGAATTCTAATGAGTTTACCTTTATAAGTGATAGAGTAGAGCTTCTCTGTATGAGCTTTGAAGATTTTGTCCTTGCGTTGGACATCTGAGATTTTGACTGTAATGTGTTTGGAGCAGTACTTTTCTCATTGTGGCTATTTGCAGTTGTATATGCTTTGCTTCTCTCTACATTAAATTCTTTGTAGTCGGAAAGTTTTCTGCTAAGTACTGTAAAAAGCTTTTTATGCCATTTGAATTGTCTTCTGATTTTTCACTAATTGTAATCCATCTTAGATTCATCTTCTTTGTGTCGTCTAGCAGCACAGAACCCATTTTCCATATTCTCTTGTTGTTTTTAAGGTCTCTCTTTGAGTTTATAGTCATCTGCATCAGCCCTGTCTTGTTTTTGACACTGTCCTCACATTGGTCACTTATGCTGTTCATAATTTCCATACAGTTTTTAATCTCCTGGATTTCTGTTTGGTACCTTTTCATGGGCTAATTCCTTGCTAAACTGATCAATCATCTTTTAACCATATTGTTTAGCTCATTTTTTTATGAGTATTTTGTGTAAGCTTGCTGATCATTTTATTAAGGCCATTTTCGGTTTAGTTACATCATCTTTGAGCTTGCTGAGTACCTTACTGATTTGTTTTTATGTCTCCTCTTTTTTGTTTTTGCTTTTTTGTCTTTTGAAACAGAATCTTGCTATATTCTTCAGGCTGGGCTCAAACTCAGGGAGATCCTCCTGCCTCAGCCTCCCAAGTGCTGGGATTACTGGCATGCACCACCATGCCCAGCTGCTTCTTTTATCATTTTGTATAACTCAGTTGTTTGGCCTTTGATTTCTTCCCCTCTGTGCCCCGTGGATCAGTTTGGGAGGAATTCAGTTCACCTTTATTCTTTTGCACATAGATACCCATTTGCTGAAAGAAGTGTTCTTACCTTATTGAATGGCCTTGGCACCCTTGTGGGAAGTCATTTGGCCAAATACATTTTTTTTTTCTAGTCTGTCCATTCTTATACTAGAACTGCACTGTTTTTATTGCTGTGGTATTGTAGTAAATTTTTAAATCAGGAAATGTGAGACTTTTAACTTTTTCAAGATTGTCTTGGCTATTCAGAGTCCTTTGAAATTCCATATGAATTTTAGGATGTTTTTCTTTCTCTGCAAAAAAACAAAAGCATTCAGGTTTTGTTAGGGATTGCATTGCATTTGGGAGTATTGACATCTTAATGATATGGAGTTTTCAGGAACGGGAGAAGGAGATGTCTGTCTCTTTATTTAGGTCTTTACTTTCTTTCCGCAGTGTTTTATAGTTTTTGGTGTTCAGATCTTTTACTTGCTTGGCTTTCATGCTATAGTAGTATACTTGAGACAGACAAATGTTACAAAGCAGTGAATTATGTTTAGCTTGCAGAAATGGAGGGTCAAGGGCATGGCTGAGCTCTAGAGCGGGTCACATCATGGTGGAACACGGGTGCGGAGCGTGTGCTGGAGGTAATGTTCACTCCTCCAGACAGGGCGCAAGAGCGAGGCTGAGTGGGGCAAGCTCAGGGATTCCTACCCGTCCTCTCATGAAGGCCAACAGGGTCCCACAAGGAGTCCTCCGATCCCTTCCAAATCACACCCTCAGTTGCCTTACGGACCTCCTCAGCCCCACCTTGTAAGGGCTGCACAGCTCCTCAGGGCTTTGCCACCCAGGGGACCAAGTTTCCAGCAGATGCACCGTTGGGGACGTGTGGATCGTGTCCTAGCCATAGCGGTTAGCTTAGCCCCGAGTGCTGCTGCGGCTGCTGCTGCTTTTCCTTCTCCGCTTCTTCCTTGTCTCCTCTGTCCCCTCCCCTCCTCGTCATTCCTGTCCTCCCTGCTCCTCTCCCTCCTTTCCTTTGTTTTCCCCCTCAGTTTTTGAGACAGGGTCTCGTCTTGTAGAGCAGGCTAACCACGAGCTTGCTGTGTGGCCCAGGCTAACCTCGCACTCCTGATCTTCCTGCCTAGTGCTGGCAGATGCCGCGCCTGGCCCAGGTTTATTACAGTAGTATGCAAACTCTCTACTCCCGTATTGTCCTTCTCACTTTGTACTGCTTTGTGAGACAGAGCCTCACTCTGTAGCCCAGGCCGGCCTCCCGCTTGTATGCTTCCGTCTCCTGAAAGCTGGGATGAGAGACGTGTCACCGTGTCCGGCTCCCTCTGTATATTGTTATTACAGATTACGTCTTTATTTATGGTGCGTTCCTTAGCACACATTTATTGTAAAGTTTTATCCATTTGTTTTTAGTAACAGAATAGAGTTATAAACCCCTAAAAACGCTGACATTTACATATGTTAGGTAAGTACCTTTATTGGTATTCTTTATTTCTTCTTATGGCTTCAAGTTATTGAGAAGAACTCTTAAGCATTTCTTATAAGGCACATTTGCTGGTAATGAACTCTTTCAGCCTTTTTTTCTTTTTTTCTTTTGAGATGGGGTCTTGCTATGTAGTTCAGGCTAGGCTGGTCCTGCACTCACGATGTAGCACAGGCTGCCCTTGAACTTGCAGTGATCCCCCTGCCTCAGCCTCCCGAGTGCTGGGATCACAGGTGTGCGCCACATGCCCAGCTTCTTCAGCTTTTGTTTATCTGAACATTTCTGAGTTTCTCCTTCATTCCTGAAAAATAGTTTTGCCAGAACTCATCTAGGCTGGCCTTAAACTCACTTTGTACTCCAAGCTAGCACTGAACTTGGAGTGATCCTCCTGCCTCCGCCTCCTGAATGCTGCGATTATAGGCCTGCGCCACCACGCCTTTGCCAGACTTTTTGGTCCACAGTGTTCTCTTTCGTGGCTTTATGCTGTTATCTCGCTCATTTCTTGTCTCTGACTTCTGATAAGAAATATTGTGGTAAGTTTGTTGAGGAATCTGATTTCCTGTAGTTATTTATGGTTTCTTTGAACTCATTGAACACATTTGAAAGAGCTGAGAGAGTTATTTGTGAATCTTGCTTTTACCTGTAGGAATAAATAATTAACCTCTTTTACTACTAGTTTCAGTGTTTGGGTTTCTTCAGTGTAAGTTCCTGTCGAATTCTTATTTTCCTATGAATGGGCCATCCTTTTCTGTCTGCTGTGTTTTACAGGTTTTGGTCGAAACATTCCAAATGTGCTTTTCTTGCTGAGGGCTAGCACTGTCTGTGAAGGTTCCAGGCTGTTATCTCTCTGAGCTTTAGCTTCAACTGTAAAAACAAACAAACAAAAAAAAAACCCCAGGTACTGGTTTTGTAACTGTTGAGAAATGGGTACATGTATAACCTGAGAGGGACAGGTGCACGGCTCAGGGGTGGAGCATTTGCCTGGCAGGGACAGGCCTTGGATTTGACCCCCAGCACTGGAAAAAGATATCTCATGGGAAATCTGCACGAAGTGCTTTGCTATTGATGATGAAACAGGAATAATTGAGCGATAGTGACATAACTCTGCCATTTCAAGTTATTAATACTTTTTAACATACTCTAATGTTCTGTTTTAAAACTTTTTGAAATTATAATTTAAATCTTAAGGATAAAAGGTAAAAAACTACGCTCAGTGATTGAGTGCACCTGTCGCCCCCAAAGTCCTAAGTTTATTGAACCACACGTGAAAGTCTAAACTTTCTCTCAGTGCAAAGGGTCACTGCGTACACAGAACACGTACTTGTTGATACCCAGCTTCCTTGCTCAGCCAGCGTGCAGTGCACCAACTGAAGAGCTGTACGTGAGCCGAGGTGAAGCTCTGAAAGTGCCGCCTTCCTACGTAGGCGAGGTAACTGCAGTTAGTCTGCGTTTACCTGCTGAGCACCTCTGTAGTCTCAGCACTTGGCAGAATCTGCCAGGCTCCAAGGACCCTATCAGGATAAACGATGGTGCAAGGTTTTTTAAAGGAGCCAATTTGTACTGTTCAGAGCCCCAAATCTGAAGTGCTGGGGGTCAAATCCAAGGCCTGTCCCTGCCAGGCAAATGCTCCACCCCTGAGCCGTGCACCTGTCCCTCTCAGGTGATACATGTACCCATTCTCCCAAAAGTTACAAGACCAGTACTTTGTTGTTGCTCTTTTTAGCAGAAGATAAAGCTAAAGCTTAGAGAAGTTTTAATAGTCCTAAAGTCGATGTGGACATCAAATCTAGAGCTGTCTGATTACCAGTAGCCATTATACCACAGAGCCTCTTACCTAAATTAGTGTCTGATTTCAAGGTGTCATTTTCTTTCTTCAGGAGTCACATGCAATGGGGAAGAAGCCTGAAAATCCAGCGGACATGGTTGAAGAGGGGGAGCTTATCCTATCTGTGAATATCTTGTACCCCATTATATTTCATAAGGTAAGTAGTGAAATCTTCAGGCTTTCTGACATAAGATGAACTTTGTGGGGCTGTGGATCCAACTCAGGGCCTCATGCAAGCTGTGCTAGACAAATGTTGTACTACTGAGCTGTAGTCCCAGTACTTATGAATAATGCCAGTGGGTTTGACGAGCCTTTTAGAGCTCCTGGTGATGCAAACAGCTCTCTGCGCCATGCATGCTGTGGCCTTGCCACTGCTGGTGTGAAGTCTGTCTCTGGTTGTATGTCAGCTGGACTTGAGGTCAATTTGATTGTATGTTGGGAAAAGAAAACAAAACAGCCGATCGTGAGGGCAATTTATTAATAAAATCAGTAACTTCATTCCGATCTGCTCTCAATGGAGTTTGTGGTTTAACAGCTTTGTCTGGAAGTGGACACTTCCTTATTTACTGTTTGACTTTTAGCATAAAGAGCATAAACCATACCAGACAGTGCTGGTATTGGGAAGCCAAAAGCTCACAGAGCTGAGGGATGCCATTTGCTGTGTCAGCGACCTCCAGATTGGTGGTGAATTCAGCAGCACTCCTGACCAAGCTCCAGAGCACGTCAGCAAGGTAAGGTGACCCTCCCCAGATAAAACAAAAGGAAGAAACAATCGAAGGAGGTCGCGATACCTCGAGCGGGTGTCTCAGGTTCCACTCCACGCTTCTGTGTGAGTCCACCGGCACTGGCCCTCCTCCGCTTCATCCCCAGAGCTTTCCGCAGGCACAGTCCTCCGTTTTGATTTCCCCTCTCTCGTGTATTTCCCAGTTATTCTGTGGACTCTCCTCCTTCCTAGGTAACAGTGACAGCTTGTTGTCTGACCCCTTGGTCTCTTCCATTTCATACGGTCTGATCTCACTACCTTTACTGGGGGAGCGGGCAGAGTGGGTTCTGGGGTTGAGCCCAGGGCTTCGTCGCTGAGCAGGAGCTCTACCGCTGCACTGCACCCCAGCCTGTAGCTTAGGACTCTATTGCTCCCTCTCCTTTCTCAAATTCGAGGAAAAGGTGGGAGTCAGCTGAGAGACTCAGTATGGTGCAGCCCTTCGTCACCCCTTCACGGAGCGTAGAAATAGCGGGAAGTCCCAGCACCAGTACGAAGGCGCACAAGGACACTGTGGCGTTGGCTCTGGCTGGTGTGCGGTGCTCTTCTCAGTAAGGTGAAATCTTCGGAAAGGAGCGGAGTGGCAGGCTGGCTGCCCACAGAGTACAGCGGAAGAACTGATCCTCCCGGACTTCAGCTTAGGGAAAGGTTGGAGTAGTTCTGTTCCCGGATGCAGTCCTGGCAGAGGTCCCGGACCCCAGTCTCCAACCCACGACAGGAAAGTGGCTGTCTTTCCAATAGATGTGTGAGAGGGCACTTTGGCACGACTAGGGTAGAGTGAGCTTAGACAGAAACCAACAGAATCTCCTTTTTTCTAGTTGTAGGCTGGTACATTTTCCTTCTTAGTGTGCCACATAAAGCCTTCTAGAATCATTCCCACCTTGCATCCACACTACGCACTCCCACCTCTGCACCTTACACTCTACCACGGTGACTTTGTACCGGATGTTAGTGTAGTGAGCGGCCCTGCCCCTTCCTTTATGCAGCTGCTGAGCTCATACTCACTCCAAACCCAGCTCAAAACATACTCAGCGTGTACTCTGCTTCCCCGGGGCCTTTCCTGTGTAGTTCACAGTCCGTGCTGCAGTGTGCTGGCCCTGTGTGACAAGAGTCTGGCCGCTGGCTGGCCATTCCCTTCTTTTCTGTGGCTGATAGACACTGGCCTCAGGCCTCATGCACAGATGGCACATCTTTTTTCAGTTATGTTCAGAATGGTGTTAAGATATTTAGGTTCTTTTTTTATTATTTTATGTTTTTGGTACCGGGGATCAAACTTGGGTCCTTGCGCTTGCGAGGCACGTGGTGGAACCTTTGAGCCAAATCCCTGGCCCAAGATATTTAGGTTCTTTACAGCTGCCATCTCAGTGCTTTTGGAGATAAGTCAAGATGATAAATAAGGAATTTCAAGGCTATATGCAGATCAGGAAATAGATTTTTTTGGGGGGTGTCTTGGTTTTCTAGGTCTCACTGTGTAGTCCAAGGTGGCCTTGAACTTGGAGCGATCCTCCTGCCTCATTCTTCCGAGTGCTGGGATGAAAGGCATCCACCATAAATAGATTTAGCTTTCCTTCAAAGGAAAAGCAAATATCATTCTGCAGATTTTTTTTTTTTTAATATAGTGGGGAGTCAAGCCAGGCCCTGTATAGTAAGCTGTGTATCCCCAGCCCTGTACACAGTGTTTTTGTTTCGTTTTCGTTTTTTTTTAGACAAGGTTTCGTTAAGTCAGGTTGCCTGGGCTGCCTCAAACTTGCGATTCTCCTGCCCCAGCCTTCCAGAGTGTTGTATGACCACATTCTCCAGCTTCTTAATCCTACCAAAATTTGAATTATATTTAGTTTTACTCTTTGAGTATTGATGCTAATGCCTTCAGTTTTCTGAGCAGGGCCTGAATGACCCATAGTCCTCTTTAAAAATATTTCCACATCTACTGTTCCATTGTTTCTGCCTCTTTTCTATACTAAAATAATTCTGATTGAGCACTTACCGTGAACCAGATATATGCTATCTTCGCCTGGAATCATCACCATTTTACACTTAAGATAATTCAGAGTTATAAGAGTGATGAAGGCTGATGCAACGCTGCCACCCTCTGCACAGCCTGTCCTGCCCTTGTCATGTGCTGGTGTTGCCCTGGCTTTGGATGTCTGTCTGTCCCCTTTTGTTTACTTGGTGAGCAGGCCTTGCGTTAAACCTGAGGCAGTGCTGTGATCGCAGAGCACACCAGCAGGCTGCCAGGGCGTGGGTTTTATGGGGTTTGTATCTGTTCAGAGACCTGTTTTGATTACTTCTTGTTCTCTAGCTCTGCTTTAGAAAGGTGAATGTATGAATGAGATTTTACTGGTGCTGACATCTCTTCAGACCATGGGAAGATTTTGTCGATTCAAATTTGTATATTGTGAGTTTTGTTCTTAAGGTTTCTTTTAGAAAATTTCAAACATATAAACGAGAATAGTATAATGAAATGTTTATGTACCCTTTACTCACCTTCAGCGGTTTGCCAGAATTATTTATGTTCACCCCGTCATTGTTACACAAAATTAAAAATGAAGCCTTGAGTTTTGATTCCTTTATTGATACGGAGTATTTGGTGTGTGTTTCATTGGCCTTAGTAGAGCAGGTTAGGAAGCTATGACTCCTATAGCTGAGGAAATAAGAACCTTTATTCCAGCCAGGAGACTAAGCCTATGTAATGTGCTTTCAATGATTACTTTTGTATGTAATACGGAGAACTGGGCCAGTGTATTTAAAGTTCAGTATGCTCTGCACGTTTATTGTTGGACGACAGTGGTTCAGGGTTTGAGTGATCTTTGGAGTTCTCAGTCAGATCATCTTTTCCTGACCTATATTCTCGTGCTTTGTAACAAGCTGGGGCACGTGGCCGTGGCACTCTGGGTGTCGTCTATGGTATCATGACGATGACGGCGCTGGCGTTGCAGCCCAGACTGCCGAATCCCTGGCTCTCTTTAGTGGTTCCAGAAAGTTCTCTGGCTGCAGATCAGTGCTGCATTTGTTGGGCAACACTGACAGTTGCATCACAAATGATGTTTCCATTGTGCTTAATGCCTTTCTGGGCCTGGAGGGCTCTGATGGCCAGGGCGGAGGCAGAGCGTGCCTCCTCAGTCTGAGCCTACCTGTTCTGAAGCCTCAGACCCTTCCTGCCTCCAGTGGCCTCGACAGTGTCATCACCCGCTCTTTGGGGGGGCCGATCTTGGGGGACAGGACACACATGGCACAAAACCATAGTACAAGACCTTGAACTTGGGTGGCGTGGTGGAGGCAGCTGGTGTCAAATGAACCCGTATTTGGGACACCTGAAGAAAGTGGAATGTGTTTCTAACATGAATATGTGGCGTCCCAGTGTTCTGGCTCCCTCCCTCCCCTCTGTACACACACACCCACAGCCCACAGTACTCAGTACCGGTGACTGAGCTCAGCAGCGCACCGCCACTGAGCTCTTTTGATTCTTTGAGACAGTGTCTTGCTAAGTTGGCCAGACTAGCTTTGAACTTATGCTGCTCTGCTGCAGCCTCCTTGGCACCGGAATTACAGGCATGGGCCAACTCCCCTGTCTCAGATATTACATATTTTAATGGCTCCTCATGCTGTAATGTCTGATTGATCTGCTGGTTGTTTGTTTGTTTGTTTGTTTTTGCCATCCTGGGGATAGAACTCAGGACCTTGAGCTTGCAAGGCGGCAGGCATGGTGCCACTGAGCTAAATCCTTGCCCAATCTACCATTTTTATTTTGCTCAAATTATTCAACCTTTATTTTATTTTATCAACCTCTTAAGGAATCCTAAAAAAACCCACATGTATTCTATTACTTATTATAAAGCCTTAGTAAAGGTAACATAAATTTAAGCTCTAGAGACGCCATTAACCAGTCTTCTTTAGCACTTGTCTCTGAGGACCCTTCGCATCACAGCAGATGGTAGAAATGTCTCCTGAGTTCTCTTATAGCTGGTTTGAGTATTTTCAGGCAAGCGGGTAACTAGCAGATTCAGTACAGTGTGTGTAAGTAATGATGTCAAATAGTGATTCTAGTGTTTAGTACTTTGTTTAAACAGTGAACATAGTAGCCATAGACTCTGATTATATTAGATTAATAACAGAAGTAACTACCTCCACTAATTTTCCATGTTGGTTGGTTGTTTTCCTTCTGGAACTGGATCAGCTCGACTAGCTGAATTACTGACAAAAAGGGAAACTAGTCTACTTAGCATTGGAAATTAAAACTGTTACTGAGATTGGTCATATCTTCTATATTACCCTTTTGTACACTGAGGTTACTGATGGGATGCTATTTAGATAAACCATTTTTATTCTTGTAGACTTACTTTGTGGTTAATAATTATGTCAGTAGGCATTAAGTTGCTTAAGTCACTGAATAGGATGTTCTGTAGAAGTGTTTTGAATGACAAAATTTTATATACACTAAACTTTTTTCCCCCTAAATTAAGGCACTATTATTCTTGGACAATATGTATTTTAGACCCAATTTTTTTTCCTCAAATCAATAAGAACTTTTTATTCATAACAATTTTAGTAAGACATTTGCAGGGCAAATTAGACCCTATTTTTCTACTTTGAGGGTTTAGAAGTATGAGAAATCTTGTGTTGTGGCAGTCAGATGTGGCATTCATAAGTGCATTATATCTTTTCTTTGTTTTGATTCAGGGTCTCACTGTAGTTCAGGCTGGTCTTAAATTCACTGTGTAGCAGACTGGTCTCAAACTCGCAGTGATCCTCCTGCCTCAGCCTCCTGATTTCTGGGATTACAGGCCTGTGCCACCCCGCCTGGCCATTATATCTTTTTTTTTCCCCCCCTTTTAATGTTTTTAATATATTAAAAAGTAACAGTGCAGACAGTGATTAGTATTTTAAAAAGATCCAAATTTTTTAGGGAATGAATTTTATAAACAATTTTGTAATGAAAGGGAAATAGCAACATGATATATAAAAAGTTTAAAGATTTAAAAAATTTAAAAGCAGAAAAATGTTAACGTTAAATTCTTCCCAACGTTCAAACAAAAATTAACTTGTATAATCTCTGTAAAACGTGTCCTTGGTACAGGTCTTGGGTACTTAGAAAATGTTAAAATTTCTGAATTTGAGTGAGAAAGGCAGCACATAAAGACTTCATGAATCTCTTTTCCCAAGAAGACGTTCAGCTGAGGTGAGGCTATGGCGCTGCTGCGTAGTTTTCCTTCACACAGATAAAGAACAAGGCCCTCAGGGTCTTGCTGAATTGCCCAGGCTGGTCTTAAACTTGTGATCCTCCCGCTTCAGCCTCTCAGCACGCTGGAATCACAGAATGGCTTCCTCATCATCTCAAAAGAAAACAACCCCCTTCCAAAAAAAATGGAGGGAAGAGTCCAGTGAAAAATGGAAGAGTGCTTTTTTGTTGAGAGAAATAAGGCACCCTGCTTAATTTTTCTAAATCAGTTTGTCTCACCAGACAGTAGCCAGATGAATTGAGGAAATGGGGGGAAAATCCACTGAAAAAGATTTAAGGGTGAAGCTGTTAGTTTCACATTTATTTTTTGGCAATAGAGGAAAGTGCTGACGTGACGGATGTGGTCCAACTTGCGGTTTTGAGTTAGTGTTATAGATGATGAGTACACTAACACTGAAGAAATGGCTTCTGGTGCCGTCAGAGTAACAGCTAAATCTCATTTGTAAGAAGCAGTAAAAATAAAACTGGTTTCCTTCAAACTTTGTCAATATACCATGTAGCCATAGTGGTGCCGGGTGATTGGTAAAGAAGGGAACTTTAAACTGGGTGTGGTGGCAGGAGAATCACAATGAGTTCAAAACTAGCCTGAACTATGTAGGGAGATCCTGTCTCATAAAAACAACAGCGAAAGGATGTCATGCAAATCATCGTCAAGGCTGGGAATTTCATGAGGTCCTAGGGATCAAATCATGGCCAGTTCCACGAGTCCCTTAAGCATAAGGATGCTGATTGTGAGGACACCATTTACTTTTCTGAAGTGAGGTGACCAAGATGGAGTACGATGTGGAAAAGACTTTATGAATTGTGAGACGATACCGTCACTCATAGAATTGAGGAACCTGAAGGTGAAAAATTCCTCACCAGTTTTGCATTTGTTTGAATTGACTCCTCGTTTAAATGGGACAAACATGTCTGAGGTGAAAGTCAGTGCATTTCAGTGCCGCGTGCAGCACGGAGGGGATGGGAAGGGCAGGATGCACCTTGCACAGGTGCAGATGCCCACTGGCGAGTGTCCCGTTCTGCGTGCCCCACGTGTTATCCGTGAATGTTCTGTTAAAAACAGAGTGAAGCACAGGTCTGACGAAGTCCTCGGGTCTGGTCGCCTGCTTTTCCTATAGAGAGCTGAGAAAATACTAATGGCCTGGGCCACATGCCCAGAGGTTCTGATTTAGTAAGTCTGAGAGTGGTGATTCTGCTCCACAGTGAGTGTTGGCTAAAGATTGAGACCAGTTGTGCCCACTACTGTGGTACCTTGGGTGAAATTGCTTGAGTTCTGTCTGCCTAAGAGCTACCAAAAACAGAAGAGCAGTTTTGGACACATGAGGGATGGGTGCGGCAGACAACACAGAGTCTGGGTCCAGTGTCCTGCACCACTGGGGATGAGAGAAGTTTTTTTTAAATGCCAAAATAAATAACTGTTATCTTTATTATTACTGTGGAAACATCAAAGATATGACTTTTTTTTTTAGTTCTAGTACACAAAGTCACTGTGACAGCTCTATACATATTATAAAGTAACACTGAAGTTTATTTGAATTGTAGTTGAATTCCTTTCATAAATCTCAGAACAGACTTAAAATCCAACCTAGTGATGAAAACAAATAGCATGAAATTGAAAATATTCAGTTATCATGTCTTCACTACATCTTTATCCTTGATACCTAATGGAACACGTGGCATATAGTAGGTGCTCATCAAATTTTAGACTTTGGTTTTGGAGATAGGGTCGTCTCGCTTTGTAGTTCAGGCTGGCCTTAAGTAGCCCCAGCTGGCTGTGAATTGGGGCGCTAGGATTTCAGGCGTGCACAGCACACCTGGCAAAATTTTAAACAGATTGATGACCTGAGTAGATTCTCTGAAGCTCCATAGAGTTACTAGAACAATACTACTGTGATTTTATGCTATTACAAATTTTGAATGAATAGTTGAGTAATTTCCTAATTGTTAAGAGCAGAATTTCTCTCAATATTGTATGTTTTGTTGTAGGACCTATACAAATCTGCCTTCTTTTATTTTGAAGGAACATTTTACAATGATAAAAGATACCCAGAATGCAGAGATTTGAGCAGGTATAGTTTCCAGAAAATTTCCCAAAGTATTTAATATTTCTGCTTCTTAAAGTAGTGATATCTCCGTAATATTATTATTAAAGATCTTTGCCAAGGAATTATCTATAAATTTTGTATTCAACGTTACATGTGTCTAAAAAATTAAATACTTATTACTCTCTGGTCTTTATACTTAGGCGACAACAGTGGTAAATTATTTTTTGCTGTTTTTTCAGCTTGTGCAGTGTGGCTGTTTGCCCTGGGTGAATGGACATACAGTGCTGCTAGGTGGATCACATAGGAAAGTGGCCTTATTAGCATGTCAATCACAGTTATGTTTGAGTGCTTAAATAAAAATGTTTTCTTTGTGGCCATTTTAAATTATATCCTAATACAGCTGTTTTCGTACTTGGTCTTGACCTCCTTAATAGTTTAATAGAAGACTCTTAGGAGGCCTTGTGTGGGTTTTGTTAATACTTGTCATATTAGAAATGAACACTAATTTCCAATGATGAATGTCATTGTACTGTATACCTTAAATGGGTCAGGGATTTAACCTCAGGGGTTCCATTGCAAGCGCAAGGTCCCGAGTTTGATCCCTGGTACACACACACACACACACGTATAGGTATACCTTAAATGTACCAATAAACTCAAAATAAAAAATTTAAAAAGAAATTAACACAAGTATTTAATCTCATGACATTAACATCTTTGTGGAAAATAATGTCCAAAATAAAATGAGTGGTATTGTTAAATATTTTGCATTTAAGTTTAAAAGGCACACAGAACAGAGCCTCAGAAAAGTGGCCATTTAACGTGATCAGAGTTGGAATGGCAAAGATAATTTTGATGTCGAGGACCACACTTGAAGAAAAATTGAGTGTAATGCCCAAACCAGGACGGTCTCCCGTCAAGGCAGCACTTCCCCAGTGAACTGGGCCAGCCAGATTGCGTAAAGTCCTGTAGTCACAGTCTGATTTTTACGTAAGTTTCTGTGGAGCAATGACAGACCTTGCCTTTTTCTCTCCTCAGAACTATTGTCGAGTGGTCAGAGGCTCATGATAGAGGCTATGGAAAGTTTCAGACGGCCAGAATGGAAGATTTTACCTTCAATGACCTGAACATTAAACTGGGTTTTCCTTATTTGTACTGTCACCAGGGAGACTGTGAACATGTTGTTGTCATTACAGACATAAGGTAGGTGGCAGCACTGAGAGTACTTTGGCATTCTTTTTTTTTCTATGTAACGAATGAGAGTAAAAGTGGAGCGAGCCTCAGTGGTAGGCGGCTTGCCTAGTGCGCCATAGCTTTGACCCCCGAGGCCACGAAAAGGAGGAAAAATAAAGGTTTTTAATAAAAGGAAGCTTGCTCTGGGAATAGCCGAACATTGTTTCCTTTGGTGTGACCAGCTCTTTCTTTGCATCCATTTGTGTGCTCTGTTGTGAAGTTTTTGGAAAAAATATATTAAGTATTTTACTATGCGCTCGAGTGTTGAAAACCTACAGATACTTTTAAAACATTTCTCAGTGTGTCACACTGTTCTCCCGGGGGCACTTCCCGTTGTGTGTGTCTTTGCTGTAACCCCCTCCTTCCTTTCCTCCCTTCCGTGTCTCGTTTGTGGTGCTGGAATTGAAACCCAGGGTCTCACATGTGCTTAGGCAGGTCCTCTGCCACTGGGCTACATCCTGACCTTCTTCCTAGATTTTTTTTTTGTCTTTTTGTCTTAATATATAAATGAGATAAAAGGGAACTGAAGGGAAAAAATTCAAATGTTTGCAAATGTGAATTCTTAAATGCTTTGATAAAGGTTGAAATTGGGAAAGAGATAAATGTGGAACAGGTTTTGGTTGTTAGTTGTGAATGCTGTAGAGGTGATAGCTCTTTTTCACCAGTAGGGCTGTATTCATTCCCTTACTAGGAAGTTTTCATTTAAGAAGGACCAATATGTAGGAATAAACCCTTCTGTATTTCTGGATTCATTCTGAAAGACCACCGGACGTTTTCAGTGATATAACAACGTTTTTATATGCCAGTAATAGAAAGTCCTTAACTTTCAGTTTTGGTGTTTTGTTTATTTTTGTACCGGGGATTGAACTCGGGTCCTTGCGCTTGCCAGGCAGGTGGCTGAACCACTGAACTACATCCCCAGCCCTCAGTTTTGGTTCTTAATGACCCATCTCCAAACTTTCAGGTCCTCTGTACAGTTAGTCAGGAAGTGTCACACTCAGCAGGCCCTCTCAGAATGCGGGGAAGAACAAGTCCCTGTGAGGCCCCGTCCTCATGTGGTTACATTTGCCATTCGTGGGCTGAACTATGAACAGGCGCTGCAGATCAAGCAATGCAAACAGGAGAGATTAACAGCTAAAAAACCAAATGTTACACAGTAAAAGGACTATGGCTTAGTGGAAGAATTAATTTGTCATAATTTAAACATTAAATATTCAATCAAGAGCCTGGTCATGCATGCACCTAATCCCAGCACTTGAGGCTGAGGCAGAAGGATTACAAGTTCAAGGCCAGCCTGGTCTACTTACAGAAGAATGGAATGGTGAGGCTCGTACCTCAGGCCAGCTCCAGCGAAAGCCCTACAAATCCACGAGAAACCAGATTTGGGTTTTTTTTTATAAAGGTGACAAGATCCATGTAACAGTCAGTCCAGGTGAAGTATCCCTGAGTAAGTGGTGCTCAGACACTGTTCTATATGGTGCTGTACTTAGTGATCAGTAAAGCAAGGGTTTTCTGATGGAATACAATAGGCAAACACTGAATACTCTTAGGTCACAGTATCCATCGCATAAAGGGAACCAGGAAGTCTGTGTTTATTCCAAAATGTTCTTTATAGAAAAAATTTGGGAGCACAATTCGGCCAAACCTTACATGACAAGTCAGTTTACCTAAATCTAAATTTGGCTTTGTTTTGTTTTCTGAGGCGGAGTGTCACTGTGTAGTTCAGGCTGGCCTTGAACTCCTATAGCCCAAGGCTGGCCTTAACTTGCAGGATCTTCGTGCCTCGCCCTCCTCCCGATTGCTGGGATTACAGATAAGCACCCCCACGCCTCGCCCTTACCTGAATTTTTTGTGAGCAAAATTGAAAAAAATATATATTACGCTCTCAAAGGACAGATGTTTAATTCTCTATATATCCTAGAAATTTGCACCATAGTATCTGAAATTTATTTTCTCTTGAACCAAAAGGCTTGTGCATCATGACGACTGTTTGGATAGAACACTTTATCCTCTTCTTATCAAGAAACACTGGCTGTGGACTAGAAAATGTTTTGTTTGTAAAATGTACACAGCTAGGTGAGTGCTATTTTTTCTGTGAGAAGAATTGGGTTTTAAGTGTTTTGGGATTTGTTTTCTATTTTGTATCTAAGGACTTTGTACTTTGGTTTGTTAAGTAGTGGCATAGTGCTGCAAAGTGTTCAGAGGGGTAAAGCTAGTAATTTCGGTTTGGTTTTATAATTGAACTCAAGGGCTTTTCCTCATTGCAAGCACTCACTCTTGCCAGATTAGTGGGCTTTTTTTTTTTTTTTTGGAGACAGGTCCTCACTGTGTAGCCCAGGCTGGTGGGGTTGTGGATGACAGCAGCAGGAGAAAATTGATTGTGATGAACTCCTTCTTTTCTTAAAAACTACAGATGGGTGACGAACAATGACAGTTTTGCACCAGAAGACCCATGTTTCTTTTGTGATGTTTGCTTCCGAATGCTCCATTATGATGCAGAAGGCAACAAACTAGGGGAATTCCTTGCTTATCCTTATGTTGATCCTGGAACTTTCAATTAAAGGTCCAACGATCATAAGTATATTAAATTTAGTATTTACTCCACTTTTACTTGCTTCTTGCTATTTTAAGTGTGATAACTAATATTTGGGTTATGGAATGAAATATGCATCATTTTATAAGTTGGTTCTGTACCCTAAGTGATTTTTGCTAATGACAGAATTCAATGAATGACTCGGCAAGTAGTGGTGGAAATAAAATGTTTGGAGAGAGCTAAACCTTCTATGATGCTTCCTAAGGTAAAGATTCTTTAAGTGGCTGTAATAAAAATTGGGGAATTAGCTCAGTGGCACACAAGGTTGTGAGTTCGATCCCTGGTACCAAGGGGGGGGATGTAAACAAGAATAAATTATTTCATGAGTAATTTAAGATTAAGAATAGCTGTTTTATAATCTTATAGTGGGATCTTTTGTGAGTTAGGTTTTCTTTTGATAGGAACTAGGCATGCAAGACATTCTTAATGGATGTAAAAAGATCCTGAGTGTATACTCCTACCTTCACAAAAATGTTACTTAAAATGAAGCCTGACAAGACTTTATCACACACACCAAATTTAAAATGGCAGTATGATTGAAAGAAAACATTTTATATAATATAAGATGTGGAAAAATCAAGATCCTACAGAGTGCTTGCTCTGGATCACTTACTCTTGGGCGATAACCTGCTGAATATATAACCGTAAAGAGCAAAAAACAGAAACGCTCTATGCTGACCCAGTTGCTTTGGCCCTCTTACCATCATCAGGAAAGCTTTAGTTTTCAATACATTTCCTGATGGAGATATTTTCTGGAAACCTTAAACTTTGTTTTGGAGACAGGGTCTTGCTATGTAGTTCAGGCTAGCCTTGAACTCATAGTAATCCTCCTGCCTCAGCCTCCCTAGGGCTGGGATTACAGGTGTGCATCACCACGCCTAGCTGTATAAGGTTTTAGCAGTGATGTCAAATACATTTTATATTTCACTCTCTCTCCCCTAGGGTTACTTTTGAAATTCACCTGAATTCCATCTCTCTGGATGCGTAAGAACAGACACCGTATCAATAAAAAAAAAACTCATGAAGCCTGTAAGACTGTTTGTTTAAAGACTCGACAGTGAAGGACGTCTCATGGACTTAGCACATGTCCAGTTAAGTCAGTTGATACGGAAATCAGTCCGTTTGCGGTATGTCTAGTGGTATTTTAATTCACCAATTTAGTCAGTACAGGCGATCAGCATACAGGGCTAGGATAAGAGTCCTCTCCATGGGGGCTTTATATTGTGCCCAAATTAGTTCTTAAAACCTTGTCCAAAAATCACTTAAGATGAAAGTGATTTAACCAGTTCCTAAAAGTCCACGGGTAAAACTAGTTTCCTTTATTTTTAAATTTTTTTATTTTTTTGTACCGGGGATCGAACTCAGTTCCTTGTGCTTGTGAGGCAGGTGGCAGAACCATTGAGCTAAATCCCTGGCCCTATACTGCATTTTAATACTGTATGCCTGGCGTTAATATGCAAAGTAAAATCTGTTTACTTTGATTCACTTTCATGCTATCACAACAGCAAATTCTAGAAAGTTATTTCTCATAATGAATTATTCCATGTATGATGCTGATCAAGTTATTTTAGTGGACAAACATCAGGGAAAACAATACAGCACTGGAATTCTTGTTTCTTCATATATTGAGAATGTTATTTTGTTAGTTCTTTAGGTTAACTTTTCCACCAATTCTTTTACTGGTGAAACTGAGAGGAAAAGCAGTGTATTTACTCGTCAGTTATTTGGGTGTCTCACCAATGTCAAGAAATTCCCAACTCTGCATATTCTGGAGCTATGAAATTCCTGACTCAAGACAGTTTCTTAAATGCCCATTTCATTTTATTACACACACCAGAATTGTTAAATTACTTGTATCATTTTATCCAACGAAGAAAAATAATGAGTGTCATCATGAATGTCTCTATGAACATCCTGTGTAGTTAGAAATTAATCAGTCACATGTTGATACAACAGTAGATGCACACCCAAGACCATTAAACACTCTCCTCAGGCTTCAGAATCCTTTAAGATAATTAGAAATTCCAGTTTTACTTTGGGAAGGTCAGTCATCTCTACCACCACCTGTTATACAACACAAATATAAGCACATTTCTTATTACAGTAGCTTCGTTCCTTAGGAATGTAAAGAAACAATGGCTATTTTCAGTAGAGAGGGCAAAACTTGTTCAGGACTCCTCCCGAGCTAGAAAGCTTCGGCTCTGTATGGACCACATGGCAGACCTCATCTTTCCCAAGATCTTCAACCAGGTAAGTGGCTGTGAGTAGGAGCACTTTCGTATACATACGATGTTATCACTGCGTAATCCAAGGCTGGGCATGTCGGTATCACTACTTGAAATCACTAGCTATAATAGCAATTGTAAGGCTTTAGGTGCTCTGGCTAAATTGTTCCTGGCCGGGCTCTCAAGTTCAGGTGGTCTATCTAAAACCGCTCCAAGCAGCTTCAACCAATTGAAAACTCTAAAACAAAACAAAACACACTCTACCCAAATGTCAAAGCGCACTAAACAGTGTGCTCATACATTATATACATATATAAATTTGGGGGGACTAGTTCACTGATTTGTTCAGATGTGGATTTATATAACCAAACAATAGAAATTGATCCAATATGCCCTAAAGTTGATAATTCTGAAGAAATTTTTTGAGTTCTGTTATCTGTGAATCAGCTTGTGACAGGGAAAAATTAAGATTAAAAGGCAATTATGCTTTAACAGAACATCAGTCAGCCAGTGCAAACAGTCCTAAATTACCACAGTGCTGCCAATATACCAGAAGTGGACTAGTTTGTGGTTTCTTGGGTCACAGGAAAAATAGATTTCCTATTTTCTATCATCTTGAGCCTATATGTATCTATGCCTAAACAGCATCTCAATGACTTAAATTATTTCCTCAGTAGGAAACCAGAATTCCTTTTACTCTTCTAAAAATAACGAAGTAATTTACTAGTAAGGTTTGATAGAAAAATTCTTTAATCAAAACAAGTTTACACATCAACACTTACAGCTTAACTAGAATCTGTCCAAAACTCTACTATGGACAAGACATATAATGAGTGATATAGCAGGGTTCCCTCAAAACAGCTCTATTTGCAAGACCTCGCAAAAGCAAAAATCCAATTAATGAAATAATTCAGATTTTTTTATGTACAGATGAAAACTATCTGAGAGGTCAAGACATACAATGCCTGTCACACAGCACTGGTAAGTCAATTTCCCATATTCATATTTTAAAACATAACAAATCTTTCTACCTATTGAAAACCACCAACTGACCTAAGTTAAGATATCTTAGAAATGTTACCCTTTAATTAATGAACTCTTCAATTTTGTGTTAATGTTGGTTCACCCTGATTTAGTCCATATACATCAAAATACAGACTGGCATTGCCTTGAACAGTTCATGTTTCTACTTTTCTGTAATCCTGTTACATGTATGACAGAAACGATACAAATTCCCTTCTAATATAGCCATGTTTTCAAATAGGTTAACTTTTTCATATACCATTTATTTATATTTACCACATAAGCATCACAGATTTTTTTCCAATTAAAAAAATACTATTTGTGACTTACTGAGTATGACTCGAGACATTTCTCAAAAATAAACACTTCCGTTTTCAGGTTGCGTTTCTAGGGCCTTATGAAGGATGTCACGGCACAGCCTAGACTCACTCGTTCTCAGGAGTACCCAGTCCATTCCCTGCAGGGAAGTTAGATGCCTCCACCGAATGCCCAGCCACAGAACTACATCGCCGTCGAAAGTTAACATGAGCTTTGCAAGACTGCATAGAACTACCAGTTCAATGTCCACTGACCATGAGTTATCATACAAAAAGGGTGTCAGGCCGCACGGTTACAGAGGAGCAGGATAATGGAGCACAGTGTGAGATTAAAATGAACTTTTGATAAAAAGGAAGGAGTATTTGTATAGAAGTAACACTATATCAACCATAAAAATGCTCAACTTCTACAAAACCCACAGTGAAAAGACAGTCTGGTAAATCCAAGTTTTGTAAAAACTATGCACAAAACCCACAGAATCTGAGAAAGGGGGAAATATACAAGTAGCAGTTTTTAAAATGTAACTTTGTTCTACCAATTATACATTAACATACACACACTAACTGAAAATATGCTACAACTGTGTCTGGAAAAGCAGTTTAACATTTTCTAAGTGGACTTCACCCCACATTTACTGAGTAATATAGCTGTTAATACTGCACAAGTACAATTAGCAATAATGTTTAATTGGTGGGGTACCGGGGATCAAACTTGGAACCCTAGCACTTGCGAGGGAGCCAGCAGAACCACTGAGCTAAATCCCCGGCCCTGTGTTTAATAACTTTTAAACAAAGGTAAAGGGACTTTTCGCTCAAGTTTTAAACTTCAAAACCTATGCTTATAAAAATTTAAAACTTTCAACAGTCTAAATATTTCAAATGAAAACTATTACAAACTTCACAAATGTTCTTTATAATCCAGGTGCTGCATCATCAACCTAGTTATCCACTGTGGAGTCCTTCAGAGACATTTCAGTCTCTCTCTCTTCACCGGATGGCCTGAAAGGGAAAGAAAAGATGTGACAACTGGGATTAGGATTCTCCCCTCAGAAAATTAAATTTTCCCCTCATTAAATCTGTGCACTACATTTTTTAAATCACAAAAGATCAAACAATCCTTAAGATTTTGTCCTTCTTTGGGGGGGGGGTTGGTTTTTTTGAGACAGGGTCTCACTATGTAGTTGAGACTGACCTGGAACTATGTAGACCAGGCTGGTCTCGAACTCACAGCGATCCTCTTGCCTCAGCCTCCCAAGTGCTGGGATTACAGGCGTGTGCCGCCACACCTGGCCTGTCCTTATTTCTTGTTCACAATTACATTTCACCATATTGTATCTTCCCAAAATAACAAGCAGATAAAGCAAGATAACTCAGGGAAATACCATAGAACAGGCCTTTTCTCAGCTTTAAAGAGATTTAAATTAACACGGTATCTATGACAACAACAAATTAGAAGTCCAAATCCTTCAAATGATTAAAGACTCAGATAAGTAGAGTTCTACAACTATTCTAAGGTAGTGCTGATTATAGTATCAAACTGCCCACCACTCCACTCTACCAAACGAACAGCTGGGTTGTGGCAAGGGCCTGTAACTGCAAGTTCAAGGCCAGCCTGGACTACACGTGGTGAGACCCTGTCTCAAATCCCCAAAAGAAAAAATAAAAACTACATAATCATTTTAATACTATAATGTATAATCCTCTCAAAATTAAAGTAAGTGTGAAAACAAGCCAACATTAATAGTACAACAGAAAAGTTGCCTCTTTGGGTTTTTGTTATTTCTCCAGGCCTTCCTTCGCCTGAGCTCCAGAACCCCTCTCTTTAGCTTTTTTAATTTACAACTCAATAAATTCAAGAATCAAGTACTCAAAATATAACTCCCACTGGGGGTATAGTTTAGCACAATGCTTGGTTAGTATGTGTGAGGTCCTTAAACAAATAGCTTGTAATGATCCTGTGAGTAAATATGTGAATAAGAAAGGCACACAGGTCTGGAAATAGTGCATGCCTGTAATCCCAGCACTCGGAGGCTGAGGGAGGAGGATCACAAGTTCAAGGCCAGCCCGGGCAGTACTGTGAAACTCAAATTGCCTGCCTTGCCAATGCAAGGTTCTGAGTTCGACTCTCAGTTCTGGGGGGAAAAAAGGGCTAGGGAAGAAAAACATAGGAGCTGGCACAGTGGCACACGGCTGTAGCGCTAGCAGCTACGTGGGAAAGCCAGCCAGGAAGATGGGTGACAGCCAGCAGTTTGAGGCCAGAATTGGGTAACAGCAAAAACTTCATCCCCTGAATTCTATTCTTAAAAAGAAACACACGAAGAACCACTAAAACAGGTCCTCACTTTTTCTTGCTGCCAGCTTCATGGTTGTCTTTGCTTTCTTCATTGCTGTCTCCATTGTGTTGCGGCTGATTACTGTCTTGAGCCTCAGACCCTCCATTTAGAGTCTTTGAACCTTTAGTATTCAAATGGAAAACCTTTGTTAGAGCTCATAAAATACTTTTAAGATGAAAAGTAAAACATTGACACCAAGTTCTAATACTTAAAAGTCTTATATTTAAAATAATATTCCATTTCAACCCCCTCATGAATTTCAGATTGGGCTTTGATGTCTCATTGGAGAGCCCCTGGCAGCTCCTCCGAGTCACTGAAGTCCTTAGTAGCTAAGGCACAGTAAGGAGCAAGTTTACTGCAAGTATTTATGGGTAAAGGAATTAGATGATTAATACGACTACTCAGCACATGATAACTTTTGGATTTTAGAAATAATTACTTGGCATATATCATTACTGCATTTTAAAACATGTTAAAAGTGGTTCCTAACTGACATGATTTTGTGTCAATAAACAAATCACAGGGTTTTGCTAGAAATATTAGCAATCTTTAAGATGACCTATCATACCTAAACAAAATCAGCAACTGCTTTTGAAATGTTAGTTTTCACCTTGAAGCATCTGCCAGGTAAGATGTTTATTAACTTGGAATTGGGAGTGCTATTCTGATTTTAGAGTCCTTTTAAAAGATACTATCTTACTGCTGGGCAAGGTGGTGCACACCTATATAATCCCAGCACTCAGGAGGCTGAGGCAGGAGTTTAAGGCAGCCTGAACTGCACAGCGAGACCCTGTCTTCTAAAATAAAATAGGTAATTAAGAAAATAAAAGATCTTAAATTGGTAGAAAGGTATGTTTACAATTAGCTTTAAAATAATCAGAATTAGTAGCACAGAGAGTTTATAGGTACCAAAACAATCCCTTATTCTGAATGACTGAAATCAAGTGATTTCATATACCCCTCACACACATAACAATGTTAGATTAACACCATACTTTCCATCATTTTGTCTGACACAAGTGTGTACACTGAGCTGTCAAGAGGGCAAAGACACCACCTGAGCCACCCGGGTGAGATCTGTGGTTGGTCTGACATTCCCTCATCCCTGACTCTGCATTTACATGCTCCCCATAAGCAATCACTTTCTTATTCACACATAAGCTTAACACCAAAAATCTGACGTGTTCCGGGTAACCAAACAGAGCAAAACCTCGGACTATTTGTACCAGCTATAAGCAACAGCAGCAAACAGCAGCAGCATTCAGGCCTCATCTGCTAGGTTACATTTTAACTAAAAGATTGCTGTGTACTCTGATGGGGGCTTGGGACTAGAAGAAACATCAGAAGCAGTTGAAGGACCAAGAAGTGGGACCTTATGGGGATACAGGCTGCAGCATTCTGGGTGGCTTCCAGAAATACCCAGAATCATCTGACTCATTGGCAAATCATTTTAATGTTAAAAAAAAAACACCACCACCTCATGACACCACAAACTGACAGGATCTGTTATGAATGTGACCTGCTCTGGTCCTTCAATAAGCCATCACATGTTTTGACCACGTAGATAGGCCACTGACACAATTACCAAAACCAAATTTATTACCACATACCTGTTTGTTCCTTTTCTAGCTTTTTGTTTGGCCCTTTCTTCCCTTGATCTTTGGTTTTATTTGCTTCCTCGTGCTGTCTTTGTTCAGCAAGAGATTTATTCAACACTTGTGTGATGACAGAATCTCCTTCACCAACCAAAAACATATTCTTAAATTTGTTGTACAACATTGTAGACTTTTCCATGATAACTTGACTAACTTTGAATCGGCGTATCTGAGAAAACAATATATATTTATAACTCCCTAATTGATTATGGATGTCTTATTTTTAAGTGAAGTAACAAAGTTTTTTAAAAAAATCAAATGACCTCAATTAACTTACTTTTTTCAGGGTTGTAATCATCTCTGTGTGTTTCTGAGCTTGTTGCATTGTGACCTGAAGGGAAGCGAGTTCATCCAAGGCCTCGATGCATCTGTTCACATCCTGCACAACAGAACAGTAATTTCATAACTGTTAATTACCACAGCATATAAAACTTTCTGAAAATTTTTCAGAAATCAAAATGACTAGCAATTGTCCATTTTACCATTAAACATTCAGAAAGTCACGAGAATAAGTTATAAAAGCATTATCTTTAAATGAGGTTTAACACTTACAAGATTATCAATTTTGAGTGAATTTTTAATTTCAGCATGTATCCTTTGAAGTCGAGAATCCATTGATGTTTCTATAAATTAAAATATGTAAAAAATAGTAAATAGCTTTTCTAAAACCAGTGTTTCTAAAAGTCTAGGCAAGTATAATGAAATAGTGGCTTTAGGAAACTCATGTGGATGAAAAGTAGCTCAACAAGTTACGTACTTTTAAAAGACAGTTTTGGGATAGCAACATGCAGCAAAAGCACAAAATGACCGTCTAGCTGGATTTTTTCTCCCCAGATAAGCCCCTATCTTAATAATGAATTACTCTCTACTCACCAGACCTTTACCATACACATTTAACCCCCAAGGGATTTGTAAAATGGGAAAGTGTCCACCTTTTGGCAAAGGTTATCAACGTTAAGTATAAATACACCTCCTTAGCAACTTCACCTTGATTATGCTTAAAATATAATGTAATTTATGATGTGCCAGTTGTGGTGATGCATACCTCTAATCCCAGGACTCTGGGAAGCTGAAGTCAGAGGATCACAAGTTCAAGCACAGCACAAACACTTCCGTGAGACCCTGTCTCAAAATTCTTTAAAGGGATTGGGATATACCTGTGTGTAGACTCTGGGTCCAACCCCCAATAACACAAAAATAAGTGAAATTTAAATGGGATCCATGACGTATTTGAAAAAGTATTTGTAGGGGGCCAAGGATTTAGCTCGGTGGTGGTGCTGCCTGCCTCAGAAGCGCAAGGTCCCCGGTTCAATCCCCGGTACCAAAAATTATTTGTAGGATATAACGTGAGACTGATTTTAAAAGCAATCATGAAAAATTCTCTAACTTTCTAGGTACACTTTAAACATCTTAAAAAGTAAAATAACTAACCTCGCTTCTTCTCCACTTTCTTAACTTCTGGCTTCTTTCCTTCATCTTTATTCTGCCTATCAAATGTTAACACAAATATTTCAAAACATTGGAACGCTATGACTAATTACCAGATGCCCACAATCCCTTTTATAAAGGTACTGGCTATGGTTTTTAGAACTATCCTATTTCACAGCATTAGTGTAAAAATAAGCAAAACTTAAAAATCTACATACCAATTAACAATTTAATATATTCAATGACATCACAAAATGACTGACACCACAATGGCAAGTTTTCAGTCACTAATGTTCTTAAAAGCCCAATTAGCCCTAAAAGGAAGATAGCGCCTATGAATGTTAAATGGATTCTGCATCACAATTATTTTTATAAGCAGCATGTCAAAATAGACCAATTAATTGTTTCCCCACATGGCCAAAGTGTAGTTAAATTAAGGAGTCGAACTTCAAAATTAAATAGACTGTTTTAAGATGCTACTGTGATTTTTTTTTTTAAATGGGGGAGGTATTTCAAATGACATCCACTAACACTTACATACCATTTCACAGATGAAAAGGTACCATTAACTACAAATCACAAAAATAACCATTTAAAACTGAAATTTTAATTTGTAGTACCTTTGCTTGGAGTTCAGGCCATATCGTAAACCAATTAAAATAGACAAGAACAAAAAAGTATCTAAAAATCAGGTTTTTTTAAAAAAAACTTTATTTTAAAATTTTGGTTACAGTTTCATTTTTTTTTCTTAACAAGTCTACTGCTTAATCTCTCAGGATTAAAAAACAAGATTCTAAAGAATTAAACAACAAAGGAATGTCAAAGGAAGGGCACAGGCTGCTCCACTCTCAGGTGTAATAGCTATTCCATTAATGCCTAGCTTCAAAACGAAACGAGTTTTTATATCTTCTAAATGAATAATGTACAACCACCATCTTCATCTAGGCTTGTTATAACTTTCAAACACAGAGCTTCACTTTAAGCTTAGTAAAAAGCTTAACAGGAATGATGGCTGACTTAAGTGTGTAGTGTGTACCTCACAGTAAACTTCGTTAACAATCAGAACACAGTAACAATGCCATTAATAATGAAGTCCTCAATTTAGAATCTGGAACATTCTTCCATCAAGGGGGGAAGGGGAAATTCAGTCCAATGAGTCTGTCTCAAGATCTTCATCTCTTGTTTGCTCCACTTGTATTCTCTTTTCAGTAACTGGATTAATGCTTTGAGCCCAAAATGAGATATATTTTTTATTACTGTAGATTACATGTTGTTTGGCTGGGAATACAATACAATAAACTTTATTTTGCATAATGCATTTCACACAAGTTGCATCTGAAATGCTTTACAGAGCAAAACTGTCCAAGTACAAAGTTTTGTAATAACAGGAGAAGGAAAGAAAACACAAATATTAGAATTTGAGAAAGTTACATTGGAGGACATTCATAAGAAAATGAAATACATAAAGATAACTTTGAGATACTAAAGAAGAATTGTGTTGATTTTCTAAGCAACAACTAATTTTATATCAATTTTGGGAGCACAATAAAATTAAAAGCAACAAACAGTCCAACAACTTTCCAGTGAAAAGATAGAAAAGGATAGGTAACAAAAAATATTTACAGAAGTGTTCCAAGTCTAACATTGGGAGTATCACTTGTGAGCTTTAGATAAATTTTAAAATTACTCCCTGAAGCAGCTAAAACTGCTCATAAATCCTCCAAACAATTAAGAATAATGAGGTAAATGCTGAACCTACAAAGATAGCTTACGGATGTAGTATAAAGAAAAATCTTCAAGAATTGTTTAAAGTTTCACTGATTATCATTAACCTTGTCTTAGCATGTTTTAAAAATTACCTCCTAACAACAAAAAAATTAGTCAGTGTAAGACTTCACAAGGAATGAAATGTTTCACAGAAAGAACTCAGAAGGGACAGTCTAAAAGTAACTAGGAAAACAAATGTAATAAAGACAAACTCTGATCATTTATCACTGCTGACTTCTATTAATAAAATTACACAACGGAGGGTGACTTCCCCATGGGAAGTAAATACTGTAACCAAGTATCGAACTTTACGGGAAAACAGATCTGAATTGATTTATATTATACACAATGAATGTAAACCCTGTCAGCCTTTGGATTTATTTTTACTGGCTTCCTGGGTTTCCAACTGTGCTTTTTCTATTTCTGCTGGTCTTAAGGGGCAGGTTTGCTGTTGTGACAGATAAAAGTATTTCTTGCATTCTTCCTCCACCAATATAGTATAACTCTATATACATCAGAGAAATAAACAGTAGGGTATATTTTCTGCAGAGCCACTAACAACTAAAACGTGCACTTTGAATTTAAATTCAAAAATAATTCACAGGATGACTGCCTCAGTGAATTTCAACCTCACTTAGAATATAATAAAGCTTGAAATATCCTCAATATCATTTTACATGGAAGGTTTCTATAATATGGGAAAATTTTAATGCTGCATGAAGTCAAAAGTGAAAGTCTACTCTTTAAGAATTTCATGCTAGCCTTAAAAAAGAACCCAAAATTTAGAATAAAAAAATACTCACTGCTCAGTTTCCATTTGTTCCTCTTGCTTGCGTTTTCGGTCTGTGGCTTCCTTCTCATGTTGGCCTTTCAGCATATTCCTCCTATGAGCAGTCTGTAAGTTTCTTCCACCCTTTCTCTTCTGTTTCAAAAGTCAGGATGAATTTAGTCAACTATCAAGTCAGTGATTCCTGACTGCAAGTACAATCTTGGAAGAAAACACTAGTTTGAATTACATCTCTACTTTGCAAACTTAACGATTCTGTATTTAATAGTCCACTTCTTGCTCTGCTGTAGGTGATGCGTAGAGAGTGCGGCAGGCTATTTGCCTCTACACAGTGATTTTTTTCACTTGAATATTGACAAGAACATGCTTCAATCTATTTAAAATTTTGGCTTCTAAAAATTACAACACAAAAATCAGAAGAAAGTTATGTATGTGACCTGGTCTATACACATCTAAGGCTATATACAAAATCTGTGCAGGACACATATTTTTAATGAGATTCCCAAATAAGATTCAATGACACCCAAATAAAGTTATACATCCCCAAGAAAATATACAATACGTAGGCATGAAGATAAATTCATTGGAGTTTACACACACACACACACACACACACACATACCTCTTACATTTGTTTTCACTCACAACAACTCACTTCCCTTATTTCTCGCCTTTTTTAAATAGGTGAGATTATTGGAAATATGTACTTAATTTCCAGGTCATAATCATGAGAAGGTTAAGATAAATTTAGAAAATGCAGGAAAGTTTCAAATATGCTTTTTAATGTGGCTAATATGGAAGCCTACTCAAAAGGTAAATCCAAGTTAATGTTCATAATATCAAAAGCTTACTAGGTAAAGATCAAGAATTACATAAGAAACTCAAAACCAGAACAAAATATTTTATTTATGTAAACTTTCTACCTTTTCACCTTCTTGGTCATCTCCCTCTTCTTCAGAATCAGAGGTTGATGTAACCCCTGTTTTAGCTAAATTTTTCCTTTTTGATTCAATTTCTTTCTTGCCCTCTTTTTTCTCTGGCTCTTTCCTTGGCTTATCTTCTTCCTTCTGGCCCTCTTCATCCTTTTTAGGCTGCTTTTTAGGTTTTTCCTCTTGCCCCTTTTTCTTACTTTTGTCTTCTTCAGCAACCCTATTTTTGAGAGGTCAACAAGGGAAAATAAGCTTTCATGTATCATTACTTAGCATCCATCTATAATCTTCATGTTATCAACCAATTATTTCAGATAAAAATGAGTCAGGTAGCTGTGATCCCAGCTAGAGACTAAAGTAGGACACCTTTGAGTTCAAGGTCAGCCCAGTGAACTTAGACTCTGTCTCAAAAAACAAAGCACTACTGCTATTTAAAAGTAAATCTATAATGTTTTCAGTAAAAACATCTTAATCTTTCTGTAACAAAACACCCTTTTCATGTAAATTAGAACATAAATTGTCACCATTAGGTAAACAGAAACTCTTGATTTGAAAGTTTCCTTAAAAATAAAACCAACAGGGCCAGGGATTTAGCTCAGCGGTTCGGTGGCCTGCCTTCCAAGTTCAAGGACCCGAGTTCAATCCTTGGTACCAAAAACAAACAAACAAACCAAAAATAAAACCAACAAAGTCTCATCATGTTGTCTAGGATGGCGTAAGCCCAAGCGTACCACTGTACCCCAACTTCTAAATTTTACTGTGATTCATCTGTTCAAAAATAAAAAACATCTGAATACTAGCAGTGTGCCAGGCAATTCATTCTCCTTAATTCGGAGGTTACGGCCATGGGTGACATGAGCAAAATCCCTGGCTCTTATAGAAGGAAAGAGAAAGAATATGTATGGTTTTATTTTTTGGTGCTGGGAGATTTTAAACCTATTGCTTTATAATGCTAAAAACACAGCCCCACTTACCAAGTTTATATTGTTATATTTGCAAGAATTTGTTTTAAAAGTAGACACATTGCAAAATCTCAAATTGTAGAAGTGAAAGCAAATAGTCATTTTGGAATTCAAAGAAATGTTTTAAGCATATAATGGTAAATATACAGTCAATGAAGAACATCAAACAGGGCTGGGGATTTAGCTCAGTGGTGCTTTTGCCTGCCTTGAAATTCTCATCACCCCTAAAACAAGTCAACCTACCTAACTTGCTAGTTACTGCTGAATACTATTTAAGTAAATCTGAACAGCAGAAATATGCCCTAGAATGAGAGTCAATCATATAAATGCTAATAACATAATTACTTTAATGTGTTCATGTTCAACTATAGCAATTCCTTTATTTAAAAAATACTTCTACTTGTTGTTTTAATTAAAAACTATGTTTTTACTATACAGGGAATTTGACTAGTATTTTCATAAATTATACAATACGTTTAAGAGCTGGAAGGGACTTTATTCAGTTCAACGCTTTTCATTTGAAAACTGAGAAAATGATGACGCAAAAGGTTACATACATACTACACTCAGTATTTCAATTCTAAACCCACCAACTTTCATGACAACTGTTTCCTTGAATGCTTAACAAACTAAATTGGAAGGAAAAAATTCAATTTCTGCTTCTTCAGAAAATTATCATTGGATACGCTTATTTTCAAATGTTATACAGGATCCATCATTTACTTTCAATTAGTGGAAGAAAAAGCATAACACATAAAACTTCAGCACTTTAATAATTTCTTAAAAATGAGAAGAGTCAAATATAAAAACCAGTTTTGTGGTTTAAGCATCATCAGCCACTTGCAGTCCCCAAACTGCTGCGGGAGGAAATGGCGATTACAGCATGAGTGCCTCTGACTGGCCAGTCTGCCTTAGGCAGTGCTACCCTAGGGAGGAGACCTGCAGATGGGAAGCAGACATGACTCTGTCTGTGTGTCTTAGGGTACAGGGAATAAACCCCCAGGGCAATGTGTGCACGAATGAGCAAGTGCCCTGCCGTGGACACCTGACCTTAGCCTAAACTATAATGGATTTTAAAGATTGTGCCCAAATATGGAGATCTTTAGAATTACAATACATACACAGTGAAACATCGTGCAGCCTTTTCAAAAGTGACTTCAGGCATGTATTTTAAAAGTATGGGGCTGGAGCTGTAGGCTCAGTGATAAAGCACATGCTTAGCATGTAGAAAACTAGCATGTAGTGTTCTACACTGGGCTAGGTAGTGTGTACCTGTAATCCCAGCATTTGGAAAACTGAGGCAGGAGAAGTTCCACCGGGCAACTCAATGAGATCCCACGGGTCTCAAAATTCTTAAAAAAGCTGGGAATGTAGCTCAGTGTGAAGACCCTGGGATTAATCACCACCACCACCGAAGAGTAAACAAAATGTTAACAGGTCAACCTATAGTTCCAGCTACTCAGGAGGCAGAGACAAAGGACCATTTGAACCTGCAACCAGTGCCTGGGCAATACAGTGAGTCCTCATCTCAAAACAAACTCCTAAGAGAAATGATTGTTTCAAGGTTTTCAAAAAGTAGCAAAGAGGGCTGGGGGGATTTAGCTCAGTGGTTAAGGCCCCAAGTTTGATCCCAGTACCAAAAAAAAGTAGCAAAGAATTTCCATGTCCAAAACTCTGCTACAAGTGAGTCTTTTCCCAGTGACCCTTCTTGCCACTTAGCATGAAATACAGACTTGTGCATGGTGCTGGGATTTAACCCAGGGCCTTAGAACGCTAGGCCAGCGCTCGGTCCAACATATTCTGCTTTATAACAGTTTAAGGCACATTACAAAAACTCTAAGTTTCTTTAGTTTGCCAAAGACTAATGCAAAGCCAAGCCTAAATATCTCAGTAGCTCATTATAAACATTTCTTACTTTACACACGTATTGTAAATTGGTTTCTAGGTTCTATCCTATTGTCATTTCAGTACCTACTGCGGAGTCAGCAGCAGACACATGCTGTTCCCGTGGTGAGAGAAAGCTTAGCTCTGCACCCCACTCAGTATTCGGTACACAACCAAAGGTAGCTACAGCCAACACACAGCCTTACGTAAAAAACATGAACAAAAAACACAGCTGGGCACAGTGGTACATGCCAGTAATGCCAGGTCCCACTGATGCTGAGGCAGGAGGAACCCAAGTTTGAAGCCAGCGTGGGAAACTTAGCGATACTTTCTCAAAGGAAAAAGGGCTTGTGGCTCAGGTAGAGTGCTAGTGATCTAAAGCCCTTGGTTCAATACTCATAAATAAATATGATAAACTGCTCCTATTTTAGGGTTATCTACTTCCTCAGCAAACTGGTAAAAGAACAAAAACCTACATGTTGCATTTACTTTACAGCTGAGAAGCTGGAAACCCAAAACTTTTAAAACCAATTTCTTTGACTACACAGTGGTGAATACTGAACCCAAAGCTTCACTTATGCTAAATCGGCACTCTGCTACTGAGCTCATTCCCAACCTTCACAGGTTTCTGACTGACAGATCCTTGTGCCACTTACAGGTTACAGTGTAACCGGATAAACTTATACAGAGCAAAGATCAGATGAGCACACTCACAATCTCTGTCTCCTCAAATCTCCGATTTATGTGTCAGGAACTTTCTCAGACTTGGTTATAAGGTCAGAAGTAATCACTCCTGCTTCCTGTACTGTAGAACCCATTATCTAACCTTCCTGCCTGCCTTAGTTCTCTCCCCCACTCAAGCCCGAGGACACCTTCTCTGCTCTCTATTCTAACATATCATCACACGGTGAATGAAACTGTACCACTAGGATAACCTGAAAATGTACTCCATGAACTTGTTGTGTAAGAGGTTTCAAGGTAGAATACTGGTTAGTCAGCAGCCTCTTTCTTTTTCTTTGAGACATGGTCTCACTACGTAGTCTGGTTGGCCTCAAACTTGCAGTGATCCTCCTGCTTCAGCCTCCCAAGTGCTGGGATGACAGACTATGCCACCATGCCCGGTTCAACAGCCCGTTTTCAGTAAGGATGTAGAATTTTCAAATTCAGACAGCTTGGGGTCCAAGATCTAGGCAAGGGTATTGCTGTCAGGCTTACGCATTCCAGCTGGTGCCAAACATGACAGTGCATCCCTGTAATCCCAGCACTCTGTGAAGCTGAGGCAGGAGGACCTCAAACTCAAGCCCAGCTAGGGGAACTCAGCGGAGAAGCTGTTTTAAAATTAAAAAAAATAAAATAAAAAGGGCAGGGAATACAGCCATTGTGAATGATTCAGTCCTGTGCCCAATGTCTTCAGATGGAAACATAGTTCCTGAGCTGCCCTCTTTCTTCAGTGGAGGTGCAGTTCTCAGGGGTGGTTATTAAGAAAACCTATAAACTCAAACTATGTATAATTAACCACAAAAAGATACATACATCTGGGAGAGTCTTAGGTACCACTACACACACAAAGCTAACTAGAATTAAATACACAATAAAATAATGCATTAAGAATGATACCACAGCCGGGGATTTAGCTCAGTGGTGCCATGCCTGCCTTACAAGCACAAGGTCCTGAGTTCGATCCCTTGTACCACACCCACACACCCACACACACACAGAAAGAAAAAGAAATGACACCAAACTGCATCAAAAGAGTAACTGTAAAAAGAAATACTGGATCCCCAAATCCCTGCAGGCTGAAAGTCAGCTGAGAAAGCCACTCACTGAGAAAGGCAGTGTTTCCCAACTACAAAGGATAGTGAATAAGTAGAGAACTTCTGCAAGAATCAGCCAAGAGCTATGGAGACAAAGGATGCTTCCCAGGGAAAAGTAAAGCCTAATCCAGAAACATCTGCACTATGCAAAACAGGGCTTCCAGTATTTTCCCAAAGTTTGAGAATTCCTCGGGAACAATGCCTGCAAACAAACTCACCTAACAAAGTACACAACTTTGTAATTTCACTTTAGTAATTAAACTATGTTGTGTATTTGTGCCACTATTTTTTAACTGACAAGTAAAAACTGTATATATTTCTAGCATGCAACATGTTTTCATGCATCTATACATTGTGTGAAATGGCTAAATTAAGCTTTTTTTTGTGCTAAGTATCCATAAAATCCATTTTCTTAATTTTCAAATATACAATATATTGGTTTGTTTTTTGTTTTGTTTTGCTTGGTACCAGGGGATTGAATTTGGGACCCTGAGCCTCCAAGGCAGGTGGTGGAACTACTGAGCCAAATGCCCAGCAATATATTGGTTTTACATGCTATTATTTGAGACAGGGTCTATGTAGCCCAGGTTGGCTCCAAACTCCCAAGCTCAAGTAATGCTCCTGCCTCAACCAGAAAACTTCAGGTGCATTCCACTGCATCTAGCTTATTTTAAAAACACTTTAACAGCTAGATTTTCAATAAAATAAACTCTTTAAATACATTTTGGTTGAAGGACAGAGATAAAGCTTAGTAGTAGATAGAATGTGTGGTCAGGATGTGAAACCTCATACCTACCCTCAGAACTCCAAGAAAAGGGGGGGTCAGATGGATATGGGGATACATTCCTATAATCCTAGCTATTTGAGAGTCACAAGTTCAAGGGCAACCTTGGCAATTTAGCAAGATCCTATCTCAAAATATAAAATAAAAAGGGCCAGGAATGCAGCTCAGAGGCAGTGTGTCCCTGGATATAATGCCTAGGACCATAAAAAAAATTTATCTTTTTGGTTGAAAGTACCAGCTCTGCAGTATTGTTCTATAAAGTGTGCCTTAAAACCTGTCCTTTAAACAACAAAAAAGTTCATTCAATACACTGTAAATCTATTACTTTCTGAAGGCAGGCACGGTTGCCACCGAGCTAAATCCCTGGCCCAATCTATTCCTTGTTTTTAACTTAAGTTTTTTTAGGCAAGGTCTAAATTGCCCAGGCTGGCCACAAACTTGTGATCCTCCTGCCTCAGCTTTGCAAGTAGCTAAGATGTAAATCAATTAATGATATATTTCACTTGAGCCTTCCCTATAAAATCTTTAATAAACAATAGCCACAAAAAAGGTTTGCCTCCATTGTCTAAAATTTTCCCAGAAAAGCCAAAGTAAAACAGGATCCTTCAGTGTGTGGGGTGGTGGGGACAAGGGACAAAAAACAAACTTTTTAAAAATTTTAAATAAGTCTTAAGTTTTCACTACAAAAATACATGTAGCACTATTCTGAAATAAAGCACTTATTTGGGAGAAGATGAAAATTTGTAGACATTGCTAAAAATTTATCTAAAATTACTGTAGCACAGTATCTTTTTTTTTGGTACGGGGAATTGAACTTGGGACCTTGCATTTGAGAAGTAGGCAGCGGAACCACTGAGCTAAACCCCCGGCCCTCAGCACAGTTTCTGGACCAATTTCCCATTTATAGATTTACCCTGCATGGCAAAAAGTAATTTTATGTCTTCCAGTACCACGAAAAGGTCTTAAACTAACCAATAAAATAATAATCACATACTTGATTGCCTAACAATTTTAACTTTTTACAAAAAATTTCACATTTACCCTGTATATTTTACAAGTATCAAAATAGTTATAGCAACACACATCCTAACAAAAATGCAAAGTGATATATGCACAGACTGGAAGGTCTCATGATTACACATTAAGATAAACTCACATGTCACTCTCTGAAGGGCAAGGCGGTTTTACCATTTTGGGTCTGCCTCTTGGTTTTGGAATCTTGGCTTCTGTAGCTAACATTCATGTGGGGGGGAAAAAAAAGTCATTAACTACCAGTTCCTGTAAAAATTCAAATCTCATATATAAAAGATTACAAATAATATATATATATACTATATAAAAATTATCATTTAGTGACTTACTATAGATATGACCCACAAGTTTAAAAACAATGCATCTCCACAGATCCAGTGAGTAAAAGCTAAACATTTAAGAACAGCATAAATTTCAATTTCTCCTGAGTATGTCTAAAAGGGCTTAAAACAGCATTTTTCACTGTTGTTTTAATAGTGATGTCACAAATCCAACTTTAGATTCACTTACAGTCAATACTTAGGCATATTACAATATTAAGTATACTTACAAAGTCATCTTTGTGAGTCTGTATCAGTATGCACTGTTTCCTTTTTTTTTTAATTTTTTTTTATTTTTTGGTACCGGGGATCGAACTCAGGACATTGTGCTTGCAAGGCAAGGCAGGAGCACCACTGAGCTAAATCTCCGGCTCACCAAGTTTCCTAACACCATTAATCTGATCCATTATTACTGTACTGTGTTCCAAAATATTATGTAAAAAAGATTCTCAGGGTTTTTTTCTGGCTATTATACATGTTAACTCTTTTCATTAATAATTCTATTATGAAATAGAAAAAAACCTGGCTCAATTTTTGTTAGTTTTCTTTTACTTTGTATTAGGAAGGTCCTCCCATGAGATTTCCAATTTGCCATATTAAAATACTAAGTAGGCAATGAAGAGAGGAATATGTTACATTCTTATAGATAAAGCCAATTAAATTATTAAATACTAACATCTGTTAATATTAAGCAAATGTTGTATACGACTCCACTGAGAAAGCTTATGCCTTGTGAGAGGCCCTTCAAACAATGAAAAAAGTGACATTATTTCCGACTTGAATAAGCAGAAACCATTTGCATCTCCTTTGCTATGTTGCACACAGTTATGTAACAATAACTTTTCTGTCAAAAACAGTGCGTACACCTGTGTTCCCGTAAGACTAGATTAGATTACACAGCCTATTGAGGTCATTCTCAGACTTATCTGAATCTCTGTCATTAAGCAATGAGGCTATCCACTTCATTTCAGAACACTTTTAATGGACTGGAATACTAATCACAAGCCAAACAAATATTTAAGTAATAAGCCTACCTGCAGGTCGGCCTCTCTTAGGACTCACTTTTAGATTAACAGATGCTGTTGCTGTTGTCACTACTCCTGCCTCCTCGGTTTCTACTTTTTCTGCCTGAATCACAAACAGTATTTAGCAAATAGTATGTGTTCAAACTTTAATTCGACAGCAAAAATATACGTTCTTAACATGAGCCAAGCAAGTATAAGCATCATTTCTTTATAATCTTTATTATTTCTAGATAGCTTATCAGAGCAACATCCTCAAACTCTGCTTAGAATCCTAGAAAACTATTTGTTTTTAAAATTTACCATTTTGGGGAGGGGGCTTGAGGGGTAAGGGAAAAGGGGAAAAAAGAGGCGGGATGTATCGTGTACAGTTGCCAATTTCCTATGATGACTGTTATCACTGTTTGCCTAAAATTTACCAAAATAAATGTTCTGCTACCAAAAAGAAAGAAAAATAAAGTTCACCTTTTAAAAATTCTCAAACTAAAAAAAACAATTCATTCCTAAAATATAAAGGGCCAAGGCCGGGGATTTAGCGCAGTGGTTCCGCCACCTGCCTTACAAGCTCAAGGTCCTGAGTTCCATCCCCACTACTAAAAAATAAAAAATAAAGCTAATATTCTTTACATAATAATATGAGAACCAAAATACAATGTAATTATGCTGTAAGAACTCTAATTCCCTAAATTTGTTAGTATGTACACATTTTATTTTTGCACTGATACCTGACATTCTCCCATAGGAGTTATTCCTCTTTCCCATAAAGCAAGCTCTTTGCGAACTACAATGCCCTCTCATAAATTCTGGTATAACTCTCCTGAAGAGATGATTCCAAATGAGAATCAGTACTGCTGACTTCAGCACTGCAGTGGAATAAGGGTTAAGAACCACAAACTGGACAGGAAATGGGAAAATGAGGCAACAGTACGATCGTAACTGCAAAAGCAAAGAAACTGAAGCATGGACAGGCCACTGAAGTGGTTTTCTGAGAAAGTCTCACTACGCAGTTCAGCCTGGCCCTGGACTCACTGCAGCTGGGATTATAACCACGAGCCGCTCCGCACCCTATTCCCCAACTGTTTAGAATTCAACACTAATTTCAGTTAAAAAAAAAAAAAAAAAAAAAAAGACAACTCAAGACATGCATAATTCAACTTTTACAAATAAAAAATTTGAAGCTGCCTTTTACTTGATCTGATTTCTAAACATGCCCAATGTTGACAAGGGTACTGATGCTTAGTAATTACTGCTACCTTTCTAAAAGAGTTTTATGGAAACCAGGGATTTAGCTCAGTGGTGCTGCCACCTGCCTCACAAACACAAAGTCCTGAGTTCGATCCTCAGTACAAAAAAAAAAAAAAAAAAAAAAAAAAAAAAGTCCTCAGCCAGGGGTAGACAGGCATGCCAATACATTAATCTCTGAACTCCAGGAGGCTGAGACAGGAAAACTGCAAATTCAAGCCCACTGCCGGCAGCTTAGTGACTCAGCAAAACCCTGCCTCAAAAAACTCAAAAAAAGGGTTGGAGATACAGCTCAATGCAAAGGCGCTAGGTTCTAAAGTTTTGTAATTCTAGACTATAAAATAAAAACAGCAATAAAAACATTACTCCTCATGAAAATAAAATTTTAAGCCTAGTGACTTTATATACGTATTTAAATATAACTAATTAATTTCTTCCATATTTTACTTAATTTCACTGAGATGTCTAACCTTCGATTAATTTTCTCCCCATTTATTGCCCTACTTTTTAACCTTACTACCTTCCTTATCTTGCCTACAGCTACAATATAGGCAGGAACCTCCTGAGATTGGGCATCATAGCACGTGCCGGTAATCCCAGGACTCAGGAGGCTGAGGCAGGAGGATTGCTAAGAGTTCCAGGCCAGCTTGAGCTACATAGAGTTCAAAGAACAGCCTGAACTACACAGCAAGACATAGTTTCAAAAGACCAAAAACACCCAAGACACACACAAATACTCCAGAGGTCAACACCGCCACGTTACGGAGCCCGGTATGGAGGCTCACACCTATAATCCGACATTACAGAGGTTACACCAGGAGGACTGCAGACACAAGGCCTACCTGGAACACACAAAACCTTGCCTAACAACAACAACAAACCCACAGACACAATGGCACATAGGCTGAGGCAGAAAGATCTCAAGTTTGAGTGCCAACTAGGCAACTTAGCTCACTGTCAAGACCCTGGGTTAATTCCCAGTACCAAAAAAGCCCCAAACCTCCTAAAACTACCACTGATAAAGCTTCCTCAAAGCCCTCTGCATCTTTAGCTTTGCTGTAGCTGCTCCCTTGTCCCCGTGAGGATTATCACAAAATTCTACCTTCCGTGTCCCATTATTCTCAAACTGCTGCACCCTACTGGGGTGGCCTGAACTAGGCAAAGGACTGCAGAAACATGCATTCATTTTACGTAATCTGTTGGGATTTCAAAGCCATTCATCACTCCTTTACTCTGTCTCTTATTTCAGGTCCTGAATAGCTAGCACAAATTTTTAATCCATTCTTCAGGCCTTGTACCGTGCCTGAAAGTCTTGCTTTGGATTCGGTCTGAAGGAGGGCGACTGAGTCCTACAGGAAGAAATTCCCTTAATTTCCAAGTCTCCCTACAGATCTGTGTAGCCTCCACCTTTCTGTGTTAGGACTAAAATGTCCATCTTTACCTTGAGTGGATTCCTTCAAACGTGCCTTCCCTTACCTCACCCAGCATATACTTACAAAAAATAAATTTATATTGACTCATTTCACAGCTTCCACCTTTGCTACTTTTGCAAGAAAAAATATGTTTAGGCATCTACTGTTTTTTTTCACTTTATAAATTCTTTCCCTTACCTATGTAAATCCCTGCTAAACTGCTGTATTTCTTTTCCTTCCAAGATTTCAACTTTACCATTAAACATTTTATTCTCCAACCCACTTCATTACATCCTTATCATTCCCCTAATAAAACTATAAAGTATCTTGGGGGAAAGCCTGTCAGTATCTTACCAGACCCAATCCACAACAGAACATTTCATCACTCCTTGGATCTTGAAATTTCCCTCTCCGTTATTTAGCATGACATACTCCCTTGCTTTTTTCCTGGCAGTTCATTCTCAACCTAATTTTGCAGTCACCTATTTTCTTTATTCACCCAGAAGTCCAGTTTCTGCATACACCCCAGTAAGCATTTCCTCTTGACATCATCTATCCCATCTGTATTTAAATCAGGACTACACCGCTAACATTTCACTTTTCTCCTTTGGTGCTAGAAAGATACGTATTTTCATTACAATTCCTACAGGTGCTTCACTTTGATCTCAGTCGCCAAAACAAAAACTGACCGTTCTCTGCCTTCCTGAAATCAATTTATCTACACCACACCAGTCATTCCAGGTTCTGCCCCACTCCACCAACCACTTTCAATTGATAATCAACTTAACCTCCCGTTGTGCTTTTAAATCCCATCTCTCATTTATACTATAACAAAACAAAACAAAACAAAACAAAAACAAAAACAAAAACAAAACTTGGGCCAGGGATTTAGCTCAGTGGTTTTGCTGCCTGCCTGGTAAGCACAAGGACCAGAGTTCAAGCCCCGGTACCAAAACCAAAACCAAACAAAAACAACCTGCCATCTTTACTTCCATTCTCATGCCAACTCCTTAGCAAGGCCTTTTCTAACCCGTCAATGCTCCACTTTAATCCTCACATTTTACATATTCATAAACATGCCTTGTATATATTGTAGGATCCATTCTAGACAAGTGTAATAAGGCAATTCACAAATCTTTTGGTTTCACAAATTTGTCAGTTAGGTTTTACACTGTTTTAGACTACTCAGTGTTAGGCCTTAAAAAGCACATACCGGGCCAGGGATTTGGCTCAGTGGTTCCACCACCTGCTTTGCAAGTGCAAGGGCCCAAGTTCAATCCCTGGTACCAAAAAAAAAAGCATATAACTTCATTAAAAAAGTACTTTACTGGGGGCATTTAGCGCAGTGGTTCCACTGTCTGTTTCGCAGTCTTGAATTCGATTTCCAGTACCAAAAAAAAAAAAAAAGTGCTTTACTAGGCTAAGGAGTTAAGTTGGTAGTACAACACTTGCCTAGCATATGTGAGGCCCTGTATTCAATCCCTAGTATCACAAAAATACAAAATAAAAGCAAAAACTGCTTTAAATATGCTACAATCATCTGAGCCTTCAGCAAACCACAACCTTTCTGCAGGTGCAGGGCCTTACCTTGATGCTGATGACTACTGACTGGTCAGCCTGGTGGCTGCTAAAGGTTAGTCACCGTGGTAATTTCTTAAAATAAGACAATGAAGTATGACCCTCTGACCTGTCAACAGTGTCTTCCTTTCAGAAAAGATTCTCTATATCATGCGATGACGTCTGATAGCATTTTACCAAGAGAACTTTCAAAACTGGAGTCAGTCCTTTCAAATTCTGCCACTGCTTTATCAACTAAGTTTATTAATAAATCCTTTGTTGTTTTTCAACTGTGCTTCTAATACCTCCACAGGAATAGATCACACCTCAAGAAACGATTTTCTTTGCTCACCTATAAAGGCTGCAAACTGGATGCTGTGTTAGTAGGTATGCAAACACTAAGTTCACTGAACATCTCCCTCAGAACTCTTGAGTGATGAAGTACACTGTCAACGAGTAATAGTGTTTTGAAAACAATCTATTTTTCTGAGCAGTGAGACTCAACAGTTGGCTTAAAATATTTAGTACACGCTATCATCAGCTATGCTGTCACCCATGCCTTGTTCCATCATTATCTGGTAAAATACCTAAAGACCCTAGGATCTTGAGAATGAAAAATGAGCCCTAGCTTCAGCCTCAAGTCACCAGCTGCACCAAACCCTAGGCAAGAGTCAGTTTGTCCCCCCCACCTTTTTAAAGACAGGATCTCACTATGTAGTTGAGACTGACCTGGAACTCATTATGTAGTCCAGGCTGGTTGTGAACTCACAGCGATCCTCCTGCCTCAGCCTCCCGAGTGCTGGGATTACAGGTGTGCGCCACCACGCCGGTTTGTCCTTTTAAATTGTGAAGCTGGACACTAACTTTACCCAACTTTGTCATAGATGGCATCTTCTTCCATTGTAAGCTGTTTCCACTATACTGAAAGCTGGCTGTTTGGTACACTTCCTGTCAATTATCTTAGTTACATCTTCAGAATAATATCAACAGCTTCTGTAACAGCACTTACTGCTTTCACTTTGAACTTTTTAGACAGAGACAGCTTCTTTCCTTAAACCTGACAACTAATCTCTGTCAGCTTCAGTCTGTTCTGCAGCTAGCTTCCTCACTTTCCTCAGACTTCACACAAGACAAACACAAGCTTTCCCTTGTCTTAGGCTTCAGCTTACGGCAGCCCTGTGACTGGCTGGCTTATCTTCCATCCAGACCACTAAAACTATCTCCGTTATCAGTAAAAAGGTGGTTTGCTGTTCAGTAGGACAGCACTTTTCCCTTTCATTTACAACTTCCCTACTAGCCCAAGAGGCCTAGGATTTTTACACAACTTCGTAAGATTAATTATTTCTATCTTCTAATTTAAAAAGTGACAAGCAAGCAGGGGACTTTTTCCTTTCTCTTAAATAACTAGAACCCAGTGTAGGGTTATTAACAGGCCTAATTTCAATTTAAATACTGTCCATGTCTCAGAACAGGGGATCCAAGCCCCCCCAAAAAGAGCAGTTGAACACCCACGATATCAGCTAAGTTCAACGTCTAATATATGTGCAGTTTCACGGTGCCCCAACCAATTAACAACAGTAATGTCACAGATCAGTGAGCACAAATCTCCGTAACAAATATAGTAATAAAGTCTGGGGGCTGGGGACGTAGCTCAGTGGTGCTGCCACTGCCTCACAAGCACAAGGTCCGGAGTTAAATCCCCGGTACCAGAAAAAAAAAAAGACTGAATAAAGTCTGTGATAATTACCAAAAATCTGACACAAATAGCACTGAAAGATTTAATCAATGAAGGGTTTCCAAATCTTCAATTTGTAAAACATGCTTAGTACTGCAAGGCACACAGAGTGAAGTGCAATGAATCAAAGCACATCTACACTGGGTCTTGACAGCAGCAACCTGCCTTCCTTGCTCGCTCTTCAAGTCCATGCCTAGGTCAGTGAGCACTGAGTGAGCTTTCTGGGGAACCAGTCTCACAGGTCCACTCCAATCCCTATCATCATACTACCTTAACAAAGGATGTATCTAAAATGTAAAATGGGCTAGGGATTTGGCTCAGTGGTTCCGCCGCCTGCCTTGCAAGCACAAGAACCTACGTTCAACCCTGGTACCAAAACATAAAATGTAAAATGATTCAGTGGTTTCCCATTACTTCTCTAAGTTCCAATTCTTCAGGCTAACACTGGAACATGGGTTTTATACCCATCTCCCTCTAACTTGTAAAGTCTGGTAATATAGTGGTACCTCAGTTCACAATGCTTTTGTTTGCAAACTCTACATCTGATGACAAACATAACCGTGACCATGTTTTCCAAAATCATAGAACAAATTAAGTTCATGAACTGAGATCCACTGTACTGAAATACAACACTGTAAGCAAAAGAAGTTTTTCTCTAGTACCATATGTAATGTTTAGTCCTCGCTCCAACTAGATGCCTGAGAAAATTCTGCCAGTCTTGTTTGCTGCTTGTTATTTTGGTTTTTGAGAGAGGGTCTTGCTATATAGTTTAGGTCTTGAACTCACTATGTAGTCTAGACTAGCCTCAAACTCAGCAATCCTCCTGCCTCAGCCTCCCAAGTGGCAGAATTACAGGTATGTGCCACCACACCTGGCTAAAATTCTGCCTGTCTTTTAAGATCTTGTTACATTTATCATATCCCTTCCCAAATATATATGAGAAGATAAAGAGTCATTGTAACTATTTTTTCCACACTTTCTCAAGAGAGATTCAACTCTTGGTTTTCTTTATATCTTTGGCATATAATAGTATGGACAGAAACAGGTCAGAAAAACGTGTAAACAAAACTCACAGGGAAGAACACATTAAAGGCAACCAGATACTCAGCCCCTATTTTCACACTCACTTCATACAAATATTGTAACAGTAAACATCATAATGGCTGACACTTATAGAGAACCAGTATTTAAGGACTAGGATTTGTACGCTTTACAAGCACCCCATCATTTAGTCCTTTCAGTTACACTGTAACTATGTGTGAGTCACTATCCACTTTACAGAGAAATGTGAGGCAGTCATTAAAATATATGAAAACTGGTAATCAAGCAATAGCCTTTTACATTTTATTTCCTTCATGATTCAACTCAATGGTATTATAGCTATGTCAACCAGGAACAGTTTTGCTAAGTAAACAACATAACCTCTAAAAAGAATAAAAAGTCAAGTTTTAATAAGGTTTTATCATCTCTTATATGCAAATAAACTTCAAAAAAGTTTTTTAAAGATTTATATGGTTGGTCAATGAAATTACCTTTCTCTTTCTCCCTCTTCTGGCAGCTTTTGGAGTGGTTATGTCAACTGCTTTAGTCATATCCTAAGAAGAAAAAAAAAAACACCCACACACAGATGAAACAATAAATTATGCCAAGAACGAAAGACACTTTCTTAAACTAAAAATCACCAACATTTCACTAACGGTGCTTGGGAAGTTTGTTTTGCTTCTCTGACCTTTAAGATTATAAATATTAACAGTCTTAGTACAGTATTATTAAAGGCCCTAGGTTCAACCTGCAGCACTATAACAAAAGAACAACAAAACACACAAAACAAAAAACCCACAAACTGTTAACATTATCAAGTGAAAGTAGTAGCTGCATCTTCCTCAGGAGAAAAAAAATACATTTCCATCGTCAGCTCAAATACAAAATGTCACATTTGCTAATACACTAGAACTTGTCTATTTAAATTTATAAAAACACTTCTACAGCAGAATTCTGAATGTTAGGGTTGAGAATTTTAAGAGGTAGCTGAGATTTTAGAGATCATCCTATAATCATTTCATGAGGCCTAGAAAGGTTAAACGAGATAATCACAAAGTGATAGAAACAACCTAGATTTCAAAAAATTCAGTCTACTACTCCTAGTAAATCTATCCCACAATATTCCTCTAAAAAATGCTCCCAGAAGGGCCAGGCATTTAGTTCCATGGTGCTGCCACCTGTCCCAAAAGTACAAGGTCCTGAGTTTGACCCCCGTACCAAAAAAAAAAAAAAAAAAAAAAAAAAAGGATCAAACTATGATCCACCCTATAGCTGGTTCTGGTTCTCGTGCTTTGCACATAAAAGTAAGTGCAAGTTAAGACATCCAAGGCAGGTATCACACATCTGTAATTCCAAGTACTCAGTGGGCTAAGGCAGGAGTGTGCCAAATTCAAAGCCAACCTTGGATTTTGCGCAAAATAAAAATTTTAAGAAAGGACAGGGATATAACGTTAGTGGTACAGCACTCACCTAATGTGGGTTTAATCCTCAATACCACTAAAGAATTAAAGTAAAATACAATGCATATCAAGGATGCACAGATTGTTTTGTAATGCTGTATATTATATGAGAGAATAAACCTCTGTGTGTTCTCATTCATTTTTCAAGTACCTCAAAAATTATTTCCTGGACCGGGGAGTTAGCTCAATGGCACAGCACCTGTCTTGAAAGCTCAAGGTCATGACTTCAATCCCCAGTATTAAAAAAAAAAAAAAATTACTTCCTATTCTGCCACACTCAACTCATGTTACTAATTTTACTATTCCTTCCTGGCAACAAAATGGGATTAGGACGCAAGAGATGAAACATACCTCACTGCTTGCTTTTTCTTCATGATCACTGTCTTCCTTCGAAACACTAGTTTCTTTTTCTTCAACTTCAACATCAGATGATGTATTTGACTGTTTAGTCGAAGCCTGTAAGCAATACTCTAGTATTAATTTCACAAAGTAAGGTTCTCCAATTTAAAAATGTTGTACTCATGAAAAAGCAAAGGCCTGTTGCAAGGAAGTTAGAAAAGTACCCTGATTTCCATAAGACTCTGTATATGGGGTTGCAGGGGGTGTCTTCCTGTGTAGTTCAGACTGGCCTTGAACTCGCCAGTGATCCTCCTGCCTCAGCCTGGACATTTTAAAACAAACAATTTAAAAATAGTTTTGCCACATGCGGTGGTTCACACCTGTAATCCCAGCACCGTAGGAAGCTGAGAAGGGACCGAAAATTCAAAGCCAAGCCTGAATAATTTTTTTTGCGGGGGTGGGGCGGCGGCAGTACTCGGGACCAAACTCAGGACCTTGCGCTGGCAAGGCAGGTGTGGTGCCACTACTGAGATAAATCCCAGCCCTCAAAATTAAAAAAAAATTTTAAGAGGTGCGTGTGTAAGTGATACAGCTCAATGTGAAGTCTTTGAGTCAATCTCTGATACTATAAAACAAAATTTTAAAAACTAATAGTTTCATGCTACTACAGGTACAGTATCCCTCATCAGAAAACTACTCCTTGCACTACAGAAACTTTAAACATTCATGATGACCACATTGTTTTGTTTTCCCCAGACCCTGGGAATGGGCCAATGGGGACACGTCTGGGCCTTGGAATCAGAATGCATCTGATGAGCACAAGCAGTCACTTTTGGTAAAAACAAAGTTACTTGGTTTATCCATATAACCTACCAAAACTTGCATTGTGAAATAGAAATTTATTATCTCAGACAAAAACTAATTAGACATTATATGAAAACAAATGATGGAGTAAACAAAATGTGCAATCTGGAAGAAAAGGCCATGAAGGGCTGAGGATGTAGCTCAGCAGCTTGCCTGGCACTTGTTGAGGCCTTGGGCGTGATTCCCAGCACACCCAAAAAAGGAGGACAAGGAAGGGGAGAGGTGAAGGCGAAGATAGGCCTGGGAATATAGCTCAGCAGGGTAGGGCTTTTGCCTGTGTGCACAGGGCCATGTCAATTCCCAATACTGCCAAAAGAAGGAAATATAGTTCAAGAGTACAAATGGTAATACAGAAACACATTTTTTTTTTTTTTTTTTTGAGACAGGGTCTCACTATGTAGTTCAGACTGACCTGTAACTCACAATGTAGCCTAGAATGGTCTTGAACTCACAGCGATCCTCCTGCCTCAGCCTCCCGAGTGCTGGGATTACAGGCGTGCGCCACCATGCCTGGCTTCAGAAACACATTTTTAAAGTAACACCAAGACCAAACAGGGGGCAGTGGCACAAACCTGCATGTAATCCCAACTACACAGGAGGCTGAGGCAGGAAGACGGTGAGTTCAAGGCCAGCCTATGCCATTTTTATCAAGACCTTGTCTTAAATAAAAATTTTTAAAAAGGCATTACTAAGACAAAAAATAATTTAAGAAACAGTTACTTCTGTTGTACGGGAAAAATCATACAAGTCAGGTAAAATCAAACCATGTCATAACATTTAGTATCAATATAAATTAATAAAATTTCTGATATACAATATAGAAAAGGAGGCAGCTCTTCTGGACATCATTAAATGTAATTTGCAGGGTAATACACTTTTGTCACACATTTAATTTAACCTATTTTACCTGTGTAGGTATAGTAATATGGATTAGAATTTTACCACGGATTTAAGATATTGAAAGAATAATCACACACCTTTTAAGTTAAAAAACTTAAATCTAAATCTAAGATAATAATGTGATATTAAATTCAAAAAATTAATTAAACTTTCAATCAGGGGAAATTAACTGAGTATCTTCTGTTTTCTGAGATCTCTTTACTCATACAATTAATAAACTTGTATGTTACTGGAAACTGAACCCAGAGCCTCCTCACTAAATCTAATCTATATATGTATCTTTTATTTTGAGACTGGGTCTTGCTAAATTCCCTAACGGCTTAGGGTGGGCTTGTACTCCTGACCTTACTGCACAGCTCAGAGTGCTGGGATTACAGGCATGGGCCACTCTACCCAGCTTGCAATGAATCATTTCAACAATTCATCTACATATAAAAGGAAAAGGTTTAATCTTCTAAGTAAGACTACAAATTAATCTGAAATTCACAAGGCTTCTATATTGGTACTTATTTTCTTATACCTAGGACAAACACTGTTCTGCAAGATCAAACAAACAAACACTAAACTACATTTTATGTAAAATGACTCACCTGTTGGCTTGAAAATTTCACTTTTGGATTGTTGTCTATCTCCCATAAGCCTTCATTAAAACCTTTTCGTTTATTTGGTTTACCATACTTTTCCTTATTTTCTGAGTAAGGAAATATATCCTTTGGTCCTAAAAAAGCTCTGAAACAGAAGGGGGGGCTGTGAATACAAAGGAATCTCAATTCCATGCAAGTTATTAAACAATAAAATATCCTAGAATGTATTTTAAACATATCAATCAAAGGGCAGGCAAAGACAGTTCTAAATTCCTATGATTTCATTTCATGAATTGAGGGCAATTTCAAAAGAGAAGACTGATGAAGTGCTGTTATGACAAGTGTTCTGGGATGTTCTTTAGGTTCTGGTTACTTAAAAAACAAATGTTTTGTGCTGGGGAGGACAAATTAATATGTTTAATTCTTAAACCGTTATAAAGAGGAATATGTTGGACCGAGCGCTGGCCTAGCATTCTAAGGCCCTGGGTTAAATCCCAGCACCATGCACAAGTCTGTATTTCATGCTAAGTGGCAAGAAGGGTCACTGGGAAAACACTCACTTGTAGCAAGCAGAGTTTTGTACATGGAAATTCTTTGCTACTTTTTTTTTTTTTTGTACCGGGGATTTAACTGGGGACCTTGGGCTTGCAAAGCAGGCAAGCGGCACCACTGAGCTAAATCTCCGGCCTCCAAATACATTTTTTGGTGTGCTGAAATGAACTGAACTAAGGATACCAGAAAAGCACTCTAACACTGACCTACACCCCCAGCCTGCAAGTACTTTTTTAAAATTCAGCAACAACTTCCTAGATAATTCTAAAAAAGATCACAGAGGGCCGAGGATTTAGCTCAGTGGTTTCGCCACCTGCCTCGCAAGCACAAGGTCCTGAGTTCGAATCCCAGTAGCAAAAAAAAAAAAATCACAGAAACTGCACAAAAATATGAATATATAATACTAATGAAGCAGCTCATGGTTAATAATGTAATGTATATTTCAAAATAGCTAGGAGGGCTTTTAACTCACCAAAGACATGAGGGGTACACATACTAATTACTTTGATTCACTAAGGTATGTGTAAAGTGCCACACTATCCCAAAAAAGGTACAATTGTGTTCATTAAAAACTTGGTTAAAGCATTAAAATTAATTTTATAATAAAAAATAGAAAAATGACACTATGCCACTAACATTTAATTGCATTCCACATACAATTAATTAATTTTATTTCAACATGCTTTGGTATCTTACACAAAACTGCCAACAGCTATATTATCTGGACATATATACGTGTTTTAAATATACAATAAATTTTAGTTTATTCAATGAGGGAAAGAGATGTTATAACCACTGTATTCATTCAAATATGGTCTATTATTTGTTGTTGCTGGCAGTTTTGCTTTACTCAATCCCTGTGAAGCCAAGTGTGGTGGCCTACACCATAATCCCAGCACTTGGGAGGCTGAGGTACGATTGAAAATTCTGTTTTTTAATTCAATTTTTAACTTACTTATTAGTGCATATTAGTCATATAGATATTGACCACACTCACATAGGCAAGTTTTTCCTTTTTTCCCCCTCCCCTTCCGTCAGCCCCTTTTCCGCTTCCCATTCACACAAGCTGTTTCCATGTTTCCCCTTCCGTTCTTTTTCCTTTTCCTTCCTCCTCTCGCCTCTCCCTTGTTCCCCTTCCCATGTGAACATGTCCCCCTACTTCCCGGAATCTGTCCTCCATGACGCACCTCATTTACCCTTTGGGTTTCTCACACAAGTGAAACATGCTGTTTAAAAGTGTGTTGATTTATTTCACTTAAAGATTATAGTCTTGAAAGAAAGGAAAGGACAAGAAAAAAAGTGAAAATAGATAAAATGGAAACAAAGCTTCTGTAGAAAGGGAGGGAAGGAGGCTTAAAGGGGAAGAAAGGGATAAAATTTATCTTAAAAAAAGATTATTGTCTCAAGATATATCCACTTTCCTACAAATGATTCAAATTTACCCTTTCTATGGTAGAGTAGTACTCTATTGTATATAAATACATTTATTTACTTAATACATTTTTTTTTTGGTACCGGGGATCGAACTGAGGACCTCTTGTTTGTGAGGCAGGCACAGCGCCACTGGGCTACATCCCAGCCCTACTGTCACCTTTATGAGCGTTTCCAAGATTGAGCTATTATACATTATGCTGCTGTAAACACAGGTGCGCGAGTCTCTTGGATACTTTTAACTCTTTCGGGAGGTTACCTACAAGGGGAACAGCTGGGGGGTCCAGTGGAAGCATCTCCACACTGATCTCCACAGGGCCTGCACCAATTTACACTCCCACCAACAGATGAGGATTCCTTTTCCCCACAGCCTCACTAGCTGGTGCTGTTGGCTGATTTCTTGATGATTAGCCATTCTTTTTCTTTTTTGGTACCGGGAATTGAACTCGGGTCCTTGCGCTTCTGAGGCAGGCCACCGAACTGCTGAGCTAAATTCCCGGCCCTCAGCCATTCTTTATGGAAACAGAATCTCGGCGTTATTCTACTTTCCATTTCTCAAATGACCAGTGATGTTGAGCATTTTTGATATATTTATTTGCTGTTTGTACTACTTCATCTGAGGTGCCTATTCATTTCAGAGGCCCATTTTTAGGTTGGGTCTTTAAATACAGGGGGGCAGGGCCTGATTTTTTAAAAGTTCTTTATATATTCTAGATGTTAGTCCTTTGTCTGAGGAAGGACTGAAAATTCTTGAAGCAGGATAAAAAATTCACATCCAAGGGCCGGGGATTTAGCTCAGCGGTTCGGTGGCCTGTCTCGCAAGCGCAAGGACCCGAGTTAGATCCCCGGTACCAAAAACAAAACAAAAACAAAAATTCACATCCAGGCAACTTAGTGAGATCCTATTTCAAAAAAAGTAAAAGGGACAGGGATGTAGCTAAGTGGTAAGAGCACCTCTGAGTTCAATCAATGGCCAGTACTGCCAAAAAATTTATTAAAAATGTTAAAATCACTGAACATTAAATTAATACTAAACCATCAGTCCTATGGGACATCACAACACTTTCATAATCCAGTTAATACATAATATTGTTTTATGTGTTTCAGTTTAAAGTTGCTTTTAAAAATATATACCAGTGGGCTGAGGATTTAGCTCAGTGGTTCTGCCACCTGCCTCACAAGCCCAAGTTCCCAAGTTCAAGCCCCGGTAACAACAACAGCAACAACAACAACTATATATATAAAACATATATATGTTTATATACTAGTAGTTCATTAACACTGAACTCTCTGACAACTGCTTATATAACACATACTTTCTCTACAAGGTACAATCATAGTGTTCTCGCTATTAGTAACCTTACCCAGCATTTTAGCACTACGGGAAGGGGTATAGTTTAAAAAGCAAAATGTCAGGTGTGGTGGCACGCATCTGTAATCCCAGAAAGCTGAAGAGGGAAGAATACCACAAATTCGAGGCCAACCTGGGCTACACAGTGAGTTCAAGGCCAGCCAGAACTACACAGCAACACCCTGTCTCCAAAAACAAAAGCAACAACAAAAAAAAGCAGAAATGCAAAAACCCATCATACCAATAAACTGGGATAAGTATGAAAGCTATAACAAGAAGCCAAAGAATTCCTTCACTCGATCTTAACTAAGAATGTCTGTATCATAACTCAATATTTCTGCTACTTTGTGCATGTATGTTACGACCCCACAGATGCTACAATGAATGACTTCCAGGTGACAGATAAATTTTAGTGAGTACACAAATTCACAAGTACATAATCCACAAATGTACAACTGTGCGTATTCAGATATATCCGTCAAGAAAGATCCCTTCCATTTTTCTCTTAGATCAAGTTTTCATAAAAAAAAGATACACACAAGCCAGAGATTTAGCTCAGTGGTTCTGCCACCTGCCTCGTAAGCACAAGCACCTGAGTTCCATCCCGGGTACCAAAAAAAAAAAAAAAGATACACATAATGTGTTATTTTTGCTATGATAGTTTGTGTACATGAATTTTCCAAAGCAACAATAATACTACATTGATACTTCATCTAAAATATGCTACAAGCACAAGGACCCGAGTTCAATCCCCAGTACCAAAATAATAAAAAATAAAATATGCTAAAATAAAACATTAGATATGTATCACAAATTTATCTGATGAAATTCTGTAGTGACCTAATAATTATAGTTAACACTCCAGTTACAATTATACAGGACTTTAAAATAAAATTTCCAATAAAGGAGACTTACACAGCTCTAAATATAATCTAAGAATATGAAAATCAGTGTTGCTAAATTCTAAAATTCAGGAATATTCAACGTTATCCATGTATTTTTAACTACACAAACCCATTTCAAAACTATATGTATTAGTATGCAAGGGTTAAATTACACCAATAACTTCATTTATTTATGAAGATTTACTTCAAGGTAAAGCTAAAATGGTGCTTTATTTATTTATTTAGGGTTTTTTGAGACAGGGTCTCACTATGTAGTTGAGACTGACCTGGAACTCAGTATGTAGTCAAGGCTCGTTGTGAACTCACAGCGATCCTCCTGCATCAGTCTCCAGAGTGCTGGGATTACAGGCGTGCAACATCACGCCCGGCTTAAATGATGTTTTAATCAAAGCATTCCACTTTTTACTAGCCACCATTCACTCCCTGCTCAAAAAAAAAATTCAAATTCTCCCTTCCTGAAATGCCATAAAATAGCAAAGGATCAAGGTCAAACAAGACAAAAGAAACAAAAATATGGGAAAGGAAAACAAGACTGAAAAAGATTAGATCCTAAACCAACAATGTAGATAGGAAATCAGCACTCTCATTTACAGTTCAAATTCCCAAAGCACTCAAATTTGGTGGTATCAAGAACTGCATGAAGTAGGAGACCTGAAAAAAGCTCACAGAAAAATGTTTAAAGACCTAAATATGAGGTGTTTTTAACTGACTCTAAACCTAAAAGCCATTCAGAAGAGAACACTGACCAACACACTGATATTTAAATATATAAGGGTTGGAAATAAGCATTTTTACAAGGATCCTTTTTATGTTGTCTTTTTTGCGTGACAGTGTAAAATCATGGAACACAAGGCAATCATCGTAATCAATGGGAAAAATTACAACTGTTCCATGACACTAAAAATT